TAATTCTTATGAATTTACCTGGCAATTCACTAAATCAGTTTGCAATAGTATATATGCTGCAGTTCTGTTTTATTTTGAGGTGCATGCAATCATGCATTTTATTTTCAAAACCTGTCTCTTTTTCATCTAGTATTCCATTTCACACTTCTTTTACCCTTTGACATTTCACCAAAACACACATTTGAATTTTTAAAGTTAGCCCCTGTTTCCCGTAATAATTCTTTTTGACAAAAACCATTTGCTCTGATTGATCTGCTTGTTCCCTTTTTGAGACTGTTTAATCTCTTCAGATGACTGAGGAGGTTTGGCAAATCAAATATTTATTGATATTTATAAATATGAAAGTTTATACTGAAAAGGCTTGACAGCTCTTTAAGGTGCTGTCAGCAATTGCATAAGTCACCTCGAGCTTTTCCCAAGCAATTCCCAGCGTGCCTTTGGTTCCAGCACCTGCTGGCACAGTCCTGTGGGTCACAGGCGGCCTGATCCCATTGAGGCAGGACAGTGTGAAGTTGGGAAAATTCTTTGGCAGGTGGAATGGGGAAACTGAGACAGCTGGGCAAACCAGTGGATCAATTTACAGCCAGATACAGAAGATCACAAAGGCGGGCAGCCCCTGGTGCCTAGCAACAGGCAAAACTGGTGCCGGACCTTGCCCCTGGGGTACCTTTTCCTCCCCTGGCCTATCACTGGCCAGGCGGTTTAGATCCCCCCTGACCTTTCCTCCCTGGAGATAACATCTAGGCCTCTGTTGTATTTCAGCTCCAGGCCCAGAAAACCAGCAAAACCAGGGGACACCAGGACCAGCTGTGATGACTACAGACCCATCCCATCCCTCACCCTCCTACCCCCTAACCCACCGCACCCAGGACCTACCAATTAGTGGAGACCATGACCCTGAAAGGCCACACCTGGAAAGCTGATGAATATTCTATTGAGATCCTCCGCTAGGACCACCCCTAAATTCCCAGATATTAAAACCCTCCAGTGGAAGGATCCAGCACTCAGTCTCCCTTCTACGAGCATGGCCACGCCTTTCCCTTCCCTCTCTTCCCCCCCCCTGGCATGTATCTCCTGAACTCTAAGGGGCTCTTAGGGACTTGCAGCCAGGGGAGAAATGGCCGCGGGAGCTCGTCCGGTCCTGGGCTAAGGCCCTGAACCTGTTCCGAAGGCCCCTTTTCTCTGACTCCTGTGAGCAGACAAGCAGCCCCACCTAGGCTCACTTCTTTCCTGTGACGTTTCTACTGAGTCAGAGCAGCCCCACCTAGACTCTCCTGCTGCCTCTTGTATCCTAGGCCCTCCCTTGTTTCCCCGTCCCGGCTTTAATAAATGTAATCTCAAAATCGCCTGGACTCACGTTGTGAAATCTTTCCTGCACAGAGTCAAGAACACCCGCACACTACCAGCTGGCCTGAGGCACACCTGCCTCGGGACTGGCCTCTGTCCAACAAAACCATCTCTCACCTTTTAAAATCTCGCCAGATGCTGCACCAGTTGCAGAATAAAGTCTGAACACTTTACCCAAGAATTCAAGGCCAGTGTGCTCTCTGTGTATCATTCCACCCCACACCCCCATACTCAGCCCTTTCTCGCTTCAGTGTGTCCTGGAATCCTTTTCTTTCCTTTTTTTCCCCCTAGCCTTCGCAACCTACTCATCCCCTGTTTTCTGCAAATCTGGACATATTTTGGGTGGAGAAATTATTCTTTCAGCACAACTCGTCTTGGGAGAGGGTGCTAATCACTGTCATGGGCACACAATGCACATGAAACTAATCAGAGTCCTTTCCAAGGAATCATGTAATCCCAGGCGGGAAGAGGAAGTCTTCACTTTCCTTTGTGGCCACTCGCTGGGTGGTGGAGTAATGTAAGCTTGGAACTGTCCCGAACAGCCCCTGCCACATGAAGGAATCTTGTCCTCATGTGGAGGGAAGGAAGCCACATACGGAGAAAAGTAGAAGCAAGACACACACACACACACACACACACACACACACACACACACACACGGGTCGGGGGAGAAAGAGAGAGGGAGAGAGAGTGGCGACGTCGCGTGAATTTCTTGTATCCTCTGTCCTTCGACTTGGTTTCATGAGCCAACACATTCCTTTTTTTTTTTTTTGCTTATGAATTTGACATGTGTTCCCCTTACTGACTAATGTCCAGCTGTGCTGGATTGCTGACAGTCACGGCATTCCACCGCAGTCTCCGGCTTGCTCTCCTTACAGGTCCAAGCAACATAGCGCAAGCCATGTGAAGTCCAGAGGCCGCAAGAAATTGGAGGGTGGCTCTTGTCATTTTTCTTTAGGCACCACCGTGCGGCCACACCCAGGCTGGCCAGGAGGATTCTCCTGGACCTTTTCCTTCATGCTTTGTCTCCCCCACCCCTCATCTCTCTTCAGCCCCTTTGCTTCTTTGTGCCCTTCAAAGCCTGCCTCCCCATGAGGTGTGACCCTGATATCGGTTAATATAGGACAGCTGCTTCTGTTCTTCTGGTTCTGCTTCTGGGCAGGGGACCCTGAGTGCCGCAGGCTTCAACTCGAGGATCTACAATATGGACCCAGCAAGAACCCAAAGCCCTGGCACACCGCAAAGGTGAATTCCTTGTGGCGTATTTTCCTTCCCTTATTATGTCTGAGAGCAATGGTCTATTTCCCAGCCTTGAGGTCCATTCAGGAGCAGGGTGAGGGCTTAGAGGACTTTCAGCCATTGTGCTTCAATTGTGTGACAAGACCTGGGTGTTAAACACACCAGGTGTTCAGAGGAGAAAGCCTGACAGAAGGTGGGCGGGCTCAGGGGAAGGCCTGATGTCGCAGATGAAGTGGACTCTGCACAGGCTATTAGCAGGACAGCTAGGCTAGACCTAGAGTGGGCAGGGCTTTCTCAGGATGGGGCAGGGCACGAACAGCCTGGCAAAGGGGCCTCTGTGGCCTGGCGTGTGGCTGGAAAGCTGGTTCACTGAGGGGTCTTGAATGCCAGGCCCAGGATTTTAACTCATTTTCAGAGTCTGAAAGGGGCTGGGGTTGATTCAGAGTCTCTCCTGGGACGCCCAGTTGATTATACCCTCCTCTGGTGCACAAAGAGGACTGAGAATTAGGATGTGGACCTCAACATCTCTTCCTGGGGTTAGCAAAAGGGGTCTCTCCTCTTTTTGGCTCTCCCAGAACCCCCACCCTGCCTGCCCCACTGTGACCCAGGGCCATGGCGGGCTCTGACCAAAATGGACAGCATTTTACTTTGTGGCCTCAGGAGCCTCGGGAGCCTCAGGCTCCCCTCCCCCAACATTTCCTGTCCATGCCAGGCACCCCCAGCCCCCCAGTCACTCCCTGATCCTCAACAATCCACCTCTGGGAATTTCCAACCTATAACTGTCTTCATTCCATGAGTCACTATAGAGAGTCTCATCACTCCTCCACTTAGGAAGTCCCTAAATGGAGGTTCTGGATTTTCTGTGGGGGGACAGTCAATTTCCTTCCTACCTCAAGGACTATTCGGGCGGATTCGCTTGCTGAGTTTCTGAGTGCAGCTGAATGGGAGGAAACGTTCCAGCGTGCTTTTTGCCTGGTGATGCTGTTTCTTCTGCAGGGTCAGGCCAAGAGGCGGGGAGTCAGGCTCTGAGCTGGGGGGAGCCTCGCACAGTGGTTCTTTGAAAAGATCCTGGGCCCTGGAAGGAGACAGGCCCCGACTCTAAACCTAGCCCCTGTCACTCACCCGCTGTGTGACCTGGAACAAGTGATTTCCTGGCCCTCAGCTTTTTGTTTTCATTTGTAGAGATAGAAATAACTACCTTGCAAAGTTATAAGGTAAATTGGGCTTATAATAAGTATGATGTGTAATGACCGGGAGCTGATATATTATGCTTATTTTATCCCAACCTTCTTGAGAGGAAAAAAGCAGACTTGTCCAAAGTCATGTGCTGAGAGAGTCACAGTTCATCCTATTTCCCACACTGGGGTTCTTCTGCCTGCCCCAGGCTGCCCCCCACAACAAAGTGGGAGAGAACAAGCAGAAACAGATGAGCATGATGGGAAAAATCTTCCTATTTTCCGAGCATCCCCTGAGGACGACATGGGTGGCAGTGACAAGGTTAGTAAACCCACCCCAGGGCCACTTCCACGCCAGTGGTGGAGAGTAACGGAACCGGGGGGGGAAAAAGCCAAACAAAAGAAAGCACCTGGAAAAGATGTTTTTATGTTCACTTACATGGCAAAAGGTCAAAGTATACAGCATGAAGGTATAGGTATCTCAGAAAATCCATCCTCATGAACCTGTTTGTTCAATCGCAGTCATAATTCAAGAGTTGCCAAATGGAAATCATAAAATCGGGTGGGGGGAGGGGGGAGAGGGTCACCGAGGGAAAGGTAGTAATTATGTGTTATTTCTTTTCTAATTTCAGATAACGTGGAGTTTAAACTTTTCCAGCAAGTCAGAGTGATATAAACAGATGCCATACTAAAATATGATTGTAGCAAAAATATAAAACTCCTAAAGCATGATGGCAATATTTTAGGGGAAAAAAACATTAAAGTCTGATAATATCAGAAACTACAAATAGGATCATTTGAGCAGTTCTGTATTTCTATATGAACAGCAGTTGCAAATGACTGCTGTATATTAAAGAATAAAGCATTTGGTCTGCACATAACTTAAAAAAGGGGAAACATTTCTAAACACTGACTTTGTAAGAAGACATGAAGGACATCTTATACTTAACAACAACGGTTAAAAGGAGGACATTACTTTCTGAAGGATGCAGGAGGCAGAATGCCAAGACCTTGGTTTTCAACTTATTCTTAACCGTGTTGGGATGTGTTCATACCACGTGGGGGTTCCCGCAGAACCTAGCACCAATATATGGATCAGATGTTTATCTTTGATCTGAGTCCTTGATGTCTTCAGTTTTGAGTACATTGAGGTATGTTTTCTTTGGTTGCTGTTGTGATGAACGTGTAATTAAAAAAACTAATATTTACAACATTTAAACATTTTAGATTTCAGTGTCAACTCTTCACATAAGAAAAACTGGGAAACTCTTCGGGATCATGGGAAGGTCATTACTTCCTAGCGTCTGTCATGAAACTGTTTTCAATACAGAGAACAATTAGCCTACTAGCGCAGCTATATGCTTTCTGGTCCAGAATCTTCCCTGTGCTCAGCGGGGAGGCCAATCCTGTGACTGCCACGTCGGCCGTTCGCCAGGCTTCACAGTAGTTATCCTCAAGACGCACTCCGTGGGTGCTGGAGCCGTGCCAAACGACCTTCTGGGGCCTGAAAAGTAATTTCGTTACTTTTTCCTTCTTTGTGGCGTATCTCAGTAAACAAATTGGCATTAAGTCTAGTGGATCAAGTCAAACCCCTGAACCCTCCACGGTCTGACCCCATGTCATCTCTCTATCCTCAATGCTCTCTCCATGTAGCTGAACACACTGCATTCTGATCATTTCCAGCCTGTCCTTATCCTCAAATCATACTCTGTGCTGTGTGAAGCTGAACTGCTCTCTGCTCAGGAGGCCCCTTAGTCTGGAGCAGCCTCTCTTTCATTTTCAGACCAGTGATTCTTTCTCATCTTTCAAAGTCTATTAAATGCTTCCTCTTACAGGAAGCCTTCTTGATTCTCAACCCCCTGTTTAGGTAAATACTTTCTCTGTGCTTCTATCATCTTCTCTGCTTTTCCATTTTACAATTACAGTGTTCTGTTAAGCATCACAGCTAGTCTGTGTCTGTCACCCCCTGTACGCTGTGAGCTCCATAAGGGTAGGGGCTGTGTAGGTTTATCACTCTGCCTTCCAGACCTGGCATCGGGCATGACACAGAGTAGATGCTGGGGAAAGGTTTGCTGAGTTGTTCTCTTCTTAATAGCATATCTAGTTTTCAAAGGATTTGGGTGCAGCTCACGGCATAGGGTTAAAGGGTCACCAAGAGTGGCGTTATTTACCACTTGTGAAGCACCGATTGCACTCTAGGTGTTCTCACACTCAATTTTCACACCACCTCTATGGGATAGATAGGATTATCTTGCACGTGTGACAGGCGAGGCAGCTGAGGCTCAGAGAGCAGTGCCTTGCCGAAGGTCCCATATTAAGGTCCTGGACCCAGGTCTCCTGGCTCCAAAGCCAGGATTCTCTCCATGGCACTCAGCGGCCTCACTGAGGCTTTATGTTGACAACACCCCAGAGGGGAAGCAGACCAAAGCCTCCCATGGTTAGACTGTCTCCTAAAACTGTCTATCATACCATATACTTTGAGGCTACCACCCCTACTTACCAAGAAGGATCTGTCATCACGTCTCGGCCATCAAAGGAGTATATTGGAACATGTGTACTGAACTGACCTCCATGGCCAGAAAAAATTGAGTCCCAATTATTGAAAAGGACTTGGCCCTGTGGAGACAAAAATGCCACATTAGAAGCATTATAGCATCCGCCTGCAAATGGACTAGCTATTTACTCATTCTTTAAGGCCAGATGTCACCTCACACTGAAGCCACCAACCCCAGTCATAGAATCTGGACAGAGTGGGAACTCAGGAAATGTTTGTGGTTTGATTTTATTATCCATTCTTGAATTCTTTTGGTTTTACTGTCTTGTTTCTTGAGGTACTTTCTCTTCTGATATGTATACAAAGTCTTGTCCCCATTAAAGTGGGTTTTAGGCCTTTATTTTATTACGATTGTTTTAAAAATTTTATATGCATGTGCTGACCTTCAAATTTGTGCCAGTCTACATTACGGGTGATGAGGAGATAAATCTCTTACTCCTTGCTCTGAAGGGGCCCTGTTTCCTTCAGCTATTTGTATTCTAGGCATACAAATAATTTGGGTGGCAGAATGTGGAGGAACAGGACTGGGAAGAGACAGAAAGTGCTGGGTGCAGGTAGGGTCAGGATGGAACAGGCTAGCCTCAAGGTTCCACACTGGAATGCTGGCATCCCAGGGGCCAGATGGTCTCAAAGGACCTTTGGGATATAGTGGGAGGTCAGGACCCAGGGTGTGCATGAGCAGTAACAGAGCTAACCCCCTGTAGTTTTAATGCAGTTGCTGTTTTCACGGTATAATTATACCAGTGAGGGATTCTATGAGGCCTTGCCTTGACCGCAGATCAGGGCAGAGAAGTATCTTCTAGGCTTTGGCAGCTTAGATGTGCCAAGGACACCAAGCCAGGTAAAGGAAAAAGGATCTCTGCTCTGGGACCCATGCTTACCAGCTGTTCTCTGGTGCCCCTGAGCCCATGCCCTACAGAAGGCAACCTCAGGTGGAACCAGGAACACCAGATGTGGGGGGTCAAGGAAACTAATTCTAGATTGTAGTGGCTTTGAGCAAATTTCTTTCTCCTTCTGAGCCTCAGTTTCCTCATCTGTCAAAAGAATAACTCCCATTTTTATTGGAAGTATCTATTAAGATAATGAATGTAAAGTACTTTGTAAACATTTAAAAAGACATATATGTGACAGAGATTATTATTCCTTCCTCCTGTCTGCTCCATGAGTCATACCATCCAAGCAGGAGGGGCTACTGTGAATATTATTAGAACACTAAATTCCTGAGAGGGAAAGTGACCCACCCAAAGTCACAGAGCCAATCATGGACAGGCTGGGCCTTGAACCAGCTACTTCTGATGACGTCAGAAAGTGGAAACTGCCTTCAGTCCCTGGAGACCAGTGCATCCAGAAAGCAGTGGAGACAATATTTATTTTTACCTTGAGGTTCACTATGGGAAGGCTATATCTCTCTGCTTTCCTCACAACTGTTGAGAGATCTTGCAAATGGGAGGATAAGAATGCTCGGTAGGTGGCCCACAGTCCTGCAGCTCTGGCCTGCTGGAAGCACTGAAAGTCAGCGCGAACGTCCCCAGAAAATGGCATGTTCAGAGCAACCAAGTGGAGCTGAAAAAATTGAGAGAAGACAGTGCAGTTAAATAGTTAAAGGCAAATCCCAAGTCTCATAACCATCTCATGTTTCTGATGAGATCCCAGACTTCTTTCTCAGAATGGAAGGCACGCCCAAGGGCGTCTTATTCCATCTCCATCTGCCAATGGAATTTCGGCCCCAGCTTGGCCATCTCTAGTGGAGGAGAGCTCGGGTCTCCCAAGCAGCCTGTGTCAGCTCTCTGAAGAGCTCTAAATGGTGGGAAATTCTTCCATACACGAGGAAGACAAACTAGAATAAAGCACTTCAGAGATCTGAATCCAACCTGGCTGCCATTTGTTGGAGACTCCTGGGTCTAGTTTAGTTTCCAGGAGGGTTTTAAGTTGCCTTCGGTCCTGGATCCCTGAACAACAACCTGCCTCCTGCGCTTTCTTCTACCTCCCGAGTAGGCCTGGGGCTGGTCCTGAGGGGCCAGAGTGAAAAGACATTAAAAGGAGAAGGTCGTGACAATTATTACTAAGACTGCTGGGAGAGACCCTTTTGGAAACATGGGGTCATACAGTCATTCTAGCCTCACTTCCCTGTCACCTTGGTCAGCAGCCAAAATAAAAGCCATTCCACAGCATGGTTTCACCCACACTTTTGCTCCCAAACCCAGCCTTCTCTCCCAGCCCTTCCTAGCGTACCCTCTGGACTACTTCCACAGTCAAGGAGTGGTCATCTCCCTCCTCGATCTCACTTCAAGAACAACTTTTCTCTCATCAGCATAGGGCTAGGGAGGGCTAGTGCAGGACCTGGGTCCAAGTCTCCAAAAAAGAAAAATACTTTAAAATATTTTAAAGCAATGGACATGAAATGAGCCCTAGGTGGTGAGGCATGAGGTGGCGGGTGCTTCTTTCCCCATTTCTGCTTTGCCTCTCAGGTATGAATGACTCCAGTACCAAGTGTCATCACGTTGGTATTCTTCTGCTTTATCAAGTGTGCGGTCACTTGCCCATAGCTGGCCATGAACTACAATGTCCAGACTGCCCCATGCATCTCTGCACTTCTTTGTACGTTTCTCTCTATTTCCCCACTCCTTTCTTTCCCCTTTGCAAAAAGGACAGACTTCAGGCCTGCCTGCTACTTCTCCAATTTCTTTCTGTTTATCTCTCCCTGTTTCTGCCTTTATCACCATGTTAGAGGGAAGTCCAGCACAACCCCCTGACCCACACCCCCACCTCCCCACTGAAATGAGGCTTTCCCCACAGCCCTCCGGGTAGCAGCATTTTATGCTCCTACATTCCCAGACCTTAGGGTGGGGAAGGGGCTTCAGCACGATGTTTGCTCCCCATGACCACTTCCAGGCCACCAGACTTCCAGGCCCACATATAAACCCTGGTCCTCTGATGCTCTTGCCACCTTGCTATACTGCCCCTTCCCCTGGCTCCCTCCCTTTTATGTATCTGCAGACTGTGGTACCCAAGGGAAGAGGCCCTAAGGTCTCATAACCCTCCAATCTGTGTCCTTCTGGTGCGTACACCAAAGGGCAGTCACAAGAAGCCTGGATGACATTTGGCTTCCCCAATACTGGGAGATACCCAGGAAAGGTGCAGGGGTTCAGGGCTTCTTTGCCATGTCTACAAATCCACCCATCTCCACCTCTCCTTCATTAAGGGTACCCACAGACAAATGCCTGGAATGATGGCTGTTTCTGAACGGTGGGATCAGGGGCTTTTGTGCCCTCATGTTTCTATATATTTCTCAAATTGCTAGGATATTTTTATAATGAATATGTATCATTTTTATGAAGACAATAATGTTACAGTAATCAAAATGTTTAAATGGTGATTCTGTGGATGGTTGTAATTTTGGGAAAGTTACAGGTGATTTACTGTTTTCTTCTCCAATCTTTGTGTTGCTATTGATTGTCTAAACTTTCTACAATGAATATGTATTACTTTAGAATTTATAAAATATTATTTTAAAATTGCTTTAGCTACTACCTTAACTTCTCCCTTCACAGCTGGCCTTTTTCAAGAGTTACCTATACTTTCTTCTCTCTTTCCTCACCTTACCTCCCATTTACTCCTCAGCCAGCTAGACTCTGGTTGGCATCTCTCCAGGCTACGGTATGTTTTCACCCACACTTTTGCAGGAATGCTTTTCTTTTGTTTCTAAATTTGAAGGACAGCTTTTAGTTCTCTCTCTTTTTTTTTTAAATTTTCACCCGAGGACATGCTTATTGATTTTAGAGAGGCAGGAAGGGAGGGAGAGAAAGAGGGAGAGCAACATTGATATGAGAAACATTGATCAGTTGCATCTCTTATGTGTCCTGACCGGGGATTGAACCCGTAACCTAGGTATGTGTCCTAACCACCAGAAACCAAACCTGCAACCCTTCAGTTTTGGAATGACATTCCAACCAGCTAAGCCACACCAGCCAAGGCGGAAAGACACCTTGTAGTTGTTTCAGTGGATTTCTTGGCAGCCTTCGACACTGTCGGCACCTGCCTCGTTTGGCATTCTTTCTTCCCCTCTGCCTATGGCATCTCTGTTTCCTTCTCTTTCTCATATTTCTTCATCAGTTACTCTTTGCAGGGCCAAGATGGGGGCTCTTCATTGTCCAATCTCTTCTCACTGTAGAGATTTTCTTTTGGGAATCCTACTACCCATCATCATTGCTGTGGCTCAGCTAAAGACTCTAAGTCAGTATCTCCAGACCAGACCCACTGTGGGGTTTCAAATCTTCCTACTCTATTCCCTCCTGCAAGTCTCCACTCAGATATCCTACAGGTAGGTGCCTCAGACTCACTAGACCCCACATGAGCTTCTGTGTGGCAAATGACAGCAGTATAGGAAACATGCTTCTGGTGTCTGCCAAACCAACGCCTTGTTCTTTGCTAAAATGCCTCCATGACACTTGTTGAAAAGCGTGCTCTTAGGCCATGCAATCTTGGCTACTTCTGATTCATCTGGGAGTGGGCGATTGACCCAAGATGGTCTATATAGATTACCTCTCTCACAAGTCTGAACTGAGTCAGGGAGTGCTGGGCTCTGCGGCTGTAAGAGCACACCGAGTTGGGGCCAGAATCAGTGCCATGGCAACCCAAAGTCGTGTGTAACCTTTGTAGAGATAACCTATGTCTGTGTGTTTGGGTGGGGGTGGGAGGGAGGCAGGAAGAAAGACCTTTGAGCAAGCTGCTCTGCAGAGAGAGGGGAGCAGACTAGTAGCAGGGACAAGAGTTGTACTTCCTGCAAATAACCCTGAAAAAGGAACTATCGCCACTCAGGTACTCAAGCAAATACCCAGACATCATTCTTGATCTGCCTCATCCACACCTCCTTATACACAGTCAATAAGCAAATTTGCCCTTCCTGTCTCGTTAATTTTTCTCCAATCAACCCACTTTTCTACATGTTTGCTACTATACCATCTGATCATAGTCCAGATGGTATAGTAGCTGCTAACTGGTCATTGTGTCCCTGGTCCGGTCCCCCTAGCCCTTTGGACACTGTACCCCAGGTAATTTCTGAAATGCCGATCCTATAATTTTCTTCCTAAAGCCCTTCATTGCTTCTCATTGCCCAGTGAAGAAGGTCAAAGTCCTTAGTTTGGCTTACAGGCTTTTGATGATTAGTCCGTGACCTTTGCAGACTGAGTATCTCCCTCACACCTTGAATTCTATTCCTTCAGCCAGCCTGAAATCCTCAGAATTACAGAAATGTACAGCACTCCTCCTTGCCTCCTCTGTTCCATATGCCCTCTACCTAGAATTCCCACTCTCTTCCTCCCGCCTGGCTCTCTCCTGCTCTCAACCACCTTTTAGGTCTTAGTTTAGAGATCACCTCCTCTAAAAGAGGCAGATTTCTTTGGCCTTCCTCACATCCCCAGGATCCTGTGTTTGCCTCACCCAAACAACATACCACATTGTACTATAGTTACCTATTTTTTGTTTGCCTCTCTTGCTAATCTATATGCATCTTGAGAGTAGGAACTGTGTGCCCAGCATGGGACCTAGCACATAGCAGACACACATTCAGCACTTGCAGAGTAAATGCATGAATTGTACTTACTGCTGGCCTCTCATAATGGACATTTGAAACAGACGCCAGTGGAGGCTGGAGCGGATGTGGCTATTATGTAAAAAAGGAAAAGAAATAGTTCTGAATATTTTCATTTCACTCAACCTGTTCTTCAGAGTACATTGATGTGCAAGTGCAATGATTCTTGAGAAGATATTTGGAATAGTTTGTCATGGTCTGTGGGCCACTCTTAACCAGGAAGAGTTAATATGCTCGAATAAAAAAAAAAGGCTCAGAAAGGGAGCAAATAGTCTCAAGTGTTTTAGAAAGAGCACTGAGTCGGGGAAGCAGGAGACTCATTCACTTAACAGAGCAAGTCACCTCTTCAGGGCCTGTTTCCTCCTCTGCAAAATGAGGATAGTACGTGCCTCAAAGGGTTGCTGCGGGGTCAAGAAATGGACAATGTAAGTTGCCCTCGAGTGTCAAATATTGAATGGCTCTTTTAAATTGCTTACGGCAACCATGCTAGCACAGATGAATAAACTGAGGCCAAGACAGGGAAAGCTCCTTGCCCGAGAGGATGCAGCTACGACATGAGAACAGATGCCCAGCCCCCGGGTCCAGCGCTCCCTCCACTCTCCAGTGAGAGCATTCTGTCTGCACCTGGTCATTCCTGGGCTTCTGGGAGGTACCGAAGCATGCAGGGCTGGCTGTCCAGAGTTTGGAGAGCTTGGTGCTGGGTACCAAGGGGGACTCAGTACATGCTGATGAGGGAAGGAACAAGATGTGAGGCAAGAAAACTACTCACGTTGCTGGAGAGCGCAGGGGGTGGAGGGCTGTCGGCCGGAATGGGGATCAGTTCTCCCAGCTTTAAGAAAAAAAAGCAGGACATTGAAAATGAAACAACTGGAAGCTGGTTGCCTCTTTTTAAAACAGAAAAATAGCATTTACAGGAGTAGATTATTATTTTTCTAGGGTACTTAGAGGCGGTTTTTTAAAAAGAGTTTAAGAATTACCTGTAATTTTTTCCAACCATCTCTGACACGAATGAAAAACTCAGTGCTGTCCCTCAGGTAGATGAACGTCCCTTCTATCACCAAGTGCGCTTTTTGCAGCATGTCATCCATGTTGCTAAAGGCTGTAACCTGTCAGGTAAATTTAAAATTCCAAACACCGCAGTTATCATGAGGCAGTGGCACGCCTGAAAAACCGGCCTCTTGGTCAAGTCCAATATAAGCCACCCGCCTCACAGCAATGAAAAGGCTTATTGTGCCATCTCTAACTTCACTAATAACCAAGGGACAGTCTAGAACCAAAAACATGAGTTACCTTGAAACACAACTGTAAATTAGAATAGAGATGTTAAAACGATGAGATAATATTCGGTGAGTGTAAAGACACTGACGAGCTGTAGGCAGAGTTGCCTTTGTTGGGTGACAGGTTTAGCAAAATAATTGGTAAGTTTTGCCTCTTCCATTTGTGTGAGCTGCTCAGTGGCACTGACGTGGTTAAACCTGCAAGCTCATGCTGCTCCTTAAAGAGTTTCCAGTTTGTTTTCACTTAGAATAAGAAATGAAGCAAGAGAACAATTCTACTTAGGCCTTGAATCTTTTTTGCCTTGCTGGGAAGTTACCATATTAAATACCCGATAGAAAATGAGGGTCTGTCATTTGTGTCTAGAAAGCTGCCAAAGGTTAGATAGACATCTTGGCATATCCAGACATAAAAGCTGCAAAAATCTATTGAAAAGCATCAGGTCTCAAAGACATAACAGCCAAAAGAGCTTTTATTTTTCATTTCAACTGAGGAGCGTTATAAAAAATTAATTTTTACCTAGCCTTGATGATAATGACTGTGTGCCTCAAAATGGCTTAGAAATCTCCCAAAGGCACCAAATATCAAAATTCTATCATCCGCTGGACTCTTCTTCCATTTGGCATGCCAGTTTTCCAACTAAAAGCCCGCAAAGATCACAGAGCATCCCTAGGACTCCTGACATCCTCGCAAGGTCTGCGTCCCTCTGCTGGTGCCTTATAATAACCTCCGGGCACTCCGCCCTGCTCCAGGGGCCTGCAGGGCATGGAGCGTACACGGGGCGTTCTTGGGCAGGACAGAGGAGGCCTGCAATGGTGCTGTTTACACTCTAGCGTTTGTGTTTTTTGATCTAATACGATTGGTTCCAGTTAGGCTTCAGTGAATTAAGGATTAAAAGGATACAACTTAAATCATAAATGATTTTGCATTCTGTGTCTTTTTACTTAATAATCATCCAAAAAAAATGATAAATACTCTCTGTTCATGGAATCGCACCAATGCTATTGTCATGCAGCCAAAGTGCTAAGTAAATCCATCTAAAGCAGAGGATGAATACATACTTATAACAATACTGACCAGGTTTCTGGATCCGGGAAGCCCGGGTTGTCCTGGAGGGCCTGGCGGGCCTGGCAGGGCCACAGCTAAGACAAAGCAGGAAAGAAAAGTTAGAAAAAGTCACAGTCTCTGAAAAATGCCTCAGGTGTGAGCTGGTCACCGAGGGAAGCACATGCAACCCCAACCGCAGTGCTGCAAAGGATGGACGCCTGCATCTGGATCTTGGGCACCCGGGACCCAGCATAGGACTCAGCCGCATGGACTGGTTTTGGGGAGAAGTGGGCTTCTTCTTCTTCTTTAAAAACAAACAAACAAAAACTATACTTAAAGAAAAAATCCTCAACTGAAGATAAGTTTACTGATATTAGAGAGAGAAAAAGAGAGAAACATCGATGTAAGAGAGATGCAGTGGTTCCCTCCCAAACACACCCTGACCAGGAATCAAATCTGCAACCTTCTGGTGTACAGGACGATGCTCCAACCAACTAAGCCACCCGGCCAGGGCAGAGCTGGGCTTCTTGATTATATAGCACTGGATGAGGCCCAGTCCAGGACTTTTCAGTCTTACACAAGTGAATAAATTCCCCTTGCTGCTGTTGTTTGTATAAGTCAGTCTGAGTTGAGTTTTCTGTCACTCTTATCCAAAAATGTACTGACTCCTACAATTTACTTCATCCAGGAGACAAGCTAGGTAACAACAGAACCAAGAAAGCAGACTCAGAAAGAGGAAGAGGAGGTGCCAGGCTTCAGAAGGAGAGTGAGGCAGTGAGGTGACAGATGCCTAGGCTTTAAGGCTAGGAGGCATGACTTCAAGTCCCCTATTTGTCAAGTTTCAGCTGTGCAACGTTGGGGAAACAGCAAGCTCTCTGAAGCCTAGTTTCCTCATCTGTGAAATGTAAACAGGCATTTGTTCTTCACTGGGCTGTGGGGGAAACTGAGAAAAAGACAAACTAGGAATGTGCTTTGCAAATTGTATAGCATTCAGTCAGAAGTGCTTACTTAGCTTTTGAAGAGTCACAGTGCCCTGACTAATGAGATCAAGGCTGCTGCCCTCTTCCTTAAAAAAATGCCTCTGTACAGACATAGTTCTACATAAAATGTGAGTGGGACAACAGCTCCCTGGGGCACATCCTTGAATTCTCAAGGAGTTTATGATCCCCCCTGCAAAAGCCCCAACTTTAGGCAAGCATAAAGAAATATTATTACAGCTTTTCCTTTCCTTCTACCTCTTCATAGGAATAATCTCCTATTCCCACCCCCACCCCCTCCAAAAGTCTGTAAGGCTCTTGCAAAGTTAAGGAGGTTTTTACAAGTCCCAGTAAAATTACTGCATCAGATTTTTCAGGTCATTGCAAATAAGTCTGCAGTTCCAACATGGGGCTTGACAATCCATACATATGTGATGAACATCCAGAGAAGAGCTAGCCAGACAACTCGGATTTGGAGCCCAGCCATGCCTCTTACTAGTATTTGTGACCTTGAGCAAGTCTCTTAACCTCTCTGAGCTTTAGTGTCTTCATGCATGAAACAAGTTTTATAGCATCAATAGTGCCCATTCCATCTGTCCCCCAAGGTGGCTGTGAAGCTAATACGGGACAATGAATATGAGAGAGTTGTAAACTGTGACTTGCCATACATAATGTGAGAGGCAATCTTTGTTCTATTAAGCAAGGAGTCCTTGGGACCCTCCATGTAGGGCTATGATGGGCAACAGATTCTCTGTATCCTGCACTCACCCTGTGATGTCCCTTCACCTCTTGTGATTCCTGCTCATCCCTCAAGGCTGAGTGGGCAGCTGTGGTTTTATCCACCTAGCACCTTCTTTCTTTGCAGGACCAGTATCCTTACCTTCTCTTGGGATCCTCCCCTTCACCTCTGCAACCATTTGGTTCCAGAAGGAGCTGCCCTATTCTAGTGGGATCCTCCTGGCCACAGGTGACTAGTCCAAAGCTGGGCACCTGGCCCAAGTCAGGCCAGTCAAAATCCTTTCCCAGGACTTGCCCTATCCCAGAACTTTTTAAACGAACACTGAGAAGGAAGGGCAAGATTTGCAGCTGACAATAAAAGCTGTAAGTTGTCAATAACCTTATTTCCCAGCCTGCAGAGGATGTGGTCTGTGGTAGAGAAACATGAAGTCAGCGTACAGAGAGAAGCTGAGACAGGAGAGGGCCAGAGAATCCTCGTGGGGTTGAATCTCTGGTTCTGGCTGTAGCTGAGGTCCTGCTGCTTGTCTGCCCCCTCACAAGCTGACTGTTCACCCCTTCCTTCACATCCAGTGCATTTCCCTCTTGCTTGATCTAGTCTGAGTTACATTTCTGTCACTTGCTGCCAAAAGACCCAAGACTAAGTCAAAGCCCCAGCCCCAATGTCACCTTCTATGTATAGTTCTCCCTGGTGTCCCAGACATTGCAGGTATCTTTCCAGGTGCGCTTCTACCACACCTGGCTCACGCCAACCCAAACAACCAAAAACGATGCAGTCACGCTAGTACTAGTAGTATGATTTTCTACCATGGGCACAGTGGAAAGAACACAGCTTCAGAGCTTCACTGATCTGGGTCCTAAACCTGTTGGTACCACTCATTAGCTGTGTGACCTTGGAAAGGTTCTCAAATGTCTCTGGATCTCATTTTCCTCACAAAATGGGGATGCTGATACTTTTTCTGGAAGGGCTTTGTGAGAACTCAATAGAATAATGTAGTAGAGTGACTAGCAGTGTTCCTGGCACTTGGTAAATGGAGATTTTCTTCTGTTCCACCCATTTTTCGCTTGAGGAAGTGAGGCACCAATGGGTGAAAGAATCTTTACATAGAGAATTGGAATCAGTGATGGTCCTCAAATTCCTTAAGGACCAGGCATAGGCAAAGCAGTCAAGAAGTTTCCACCCACATGAAAAGATACTGACATCATTAGTTTCTAGGGTAATGCAAATCAAAACCACAATGAGATATCATCACTTCACATGCACTAGGATGGCTAGAATAAAATAAAAAGACATAATAATGAGAAGAGTTGATGAAGTTGAGGAGAAATTGAAACTTTTGTACACTGCTGGTGGGAGTGCGAAATGCTGCAGCCACTTTGGAAAGAGTCTGAGAAGGTTCCTCAAAGAGTTAAACGTGTATGACCCAGCAATGCCACTCTTAGGTGCATACCCAAGAGAATTGAAAACATATGTCCATGTAAAAACTTGTACACAAACATTCATAACAGCATTATTCCTAAGAGCCAAAGAGTAGAACCAACTCAAATATCCATCAGTTGATGAATGGGTAAACAAAATGTTACGATGGAATATTGAACAGTCATGAGAAGTGGTACAATGTGATGAACCTTGAAAACATTGTGCTAAGTGAAAGAAGCCAAACACAAAAGGCCACATAATACATGATTCCATTATATAAAGTGTCCAGAATAGGCAAATATATAGATATAAAAAGTAGATCTTTGGTTACCAGGGTCTGGGGAGAGGAGGAAAAGAGGACTGTCTGCTAACTGGTACAGGGTTTCTTTTTGAGGTGATGAGAGTGTTCTGGAATTGGAATGGTAATGGCCGTACAACCCTGTGAATATATTAAAAATCACTGACTTGTGCACTTTAAATGGACAAATTTTATGGCATGTGAATTCTCAGCTTTTCAAGAAAGAGAGAGAGAGCAAGCCAGCTCCATCCAGGAGACAACTCTTTGTCAGTGTGGCTGACATGCCACCAGATGAGGTGACCCTGAGCACAACAGCAGCATAAATGAGGGCACCACTCACAGTACTAACCTGCCCCTAGGATAGCCGGAGGTCCTGGTGGCCCCGGGGGTCCTGGTGGCCCAGGAGCACCAGGTCTTCCGAAGCCAGGGGGCCCAGGCAGGCCAGGAACACCTGGGGGGCCCTGAGGCCCAACAACAGCCTCCCCTTTCTGGCCCTGTCAAGGCAAATGCACAGAAACAGGAAAGAGAAAGCACCATTAATCACTAGAAGTCCCATCTATTCTTTTTATGAGGGCATTTGTAAAAATTCAATAAAATACCAGGTATTGTCATCATTATCCTCCACTTTGGGCACAATTTGAGTGGTGTATGACTTAGAGAGCAGCAGCCCAGTCATTATGCTGAATGACACTCCAGAGAACCCCGGGGAGCCCTGAACTCAGAGGAGCCCCTAGAGATCATCTAGTCTAGCCTTCGCAGTTCACAGATACAAAAACTGTGACCCAGACTGAGGATAGGACTTGACCGAGGCCTCAGAGCAAATTAGCATCAGAGCTGAAGTGGAATCCTTGTCTCTTGGCTTTGCTGGGTCAACTCTCACGGCAAGCTCTGGGACTGGAGTTGGCTTATGGTCCCTGAAGGTCAATGATTGTGTCATAATCTTGTTAGAGGCATCATTCAATTTTCCCTTTTGTGGTCTGGAGAAACTTGTCAGCCTAAGAAGACCAGGCCTATCTAAGAGCTCCCTCTTTGGTGAAGCTTCAAAAGAATCGAATAGTCTCTCTGAAAATATCTACCTCACCTTCCATTCTGCCTCCATTATCTGATGTGTTCACTACTAACATTTCTTCATGTTCAGCGAACATTTTTCCACCATGAACATGAATAAGGCACCAGAGTTAATGACCTAGAGTAACTACCTGAGTGTACATAGCCTTGGCTAGATCCCTGTCCTCCAGGGGCCTCAGCCAAGCTCCCCATCGGTCAACAAGAGGCCGATACCCAAGTCCTGTCTCAGTTTGTGGTGCTACGACTGACCCTTGATCTCCAACTGCCTAGTCACATAGAGGGGTTTCAGGGACAGTGATGTGAAAGCGTCACTACTCACAACCAGGCCTGGACTTCCTGGCAGGCCTGGAGGCCCTGACACTGCAAACTCGTCAATAGAGTCTCCTTTTTCTCCTCTGAGCCCCCTGTCTCCATTCTCTCCCTGGAAGCAAACAACATTCAAAGAACATTTAGTCAGAGTTATATGAACCAGCCTCTGATATAAGCCCAAGAACTTGGGAACATAGACCCAAGTTTACAAGAGAAATACTTACCCTCAAATGGTTCAGAAAATGTCTCAGGTAAGCTGGATCCACTGGAGGGCCTGAAAAAGAAATGCTTCATAAAATTTGCGACCATAATCTCAGAAATTTAAAAATAAAAGTCTCCAAGTTGGCAACCATTATTATTTTCTAGAGGAAGTGGCTCCTCATTGGTTTAGCTAACAGAGTGGGCACTGGGCTCGGAGACGGAAACCAGTCCTGACTGGACCCCCATCCCAGACATTGCGGGGCCCCGGGCACATCCCTGACTCTCTTTAAGCCTCATTTTGCAGCTGAAGCATGAATAACTGGAACTTCTGTTCTCCCTTGACAATGTTCTATCTTGGACACACGTTACCAGTCCCTGGATCTCTCTTGGATTCCGTGGAGCTTGTGGTCAGTGTGGTTAAATGTTTAGTTTCCCTTTCTGCCTCAGTTGGACTTCTCCAGATCAAAAATCAAAGGCAGGATCTAGCCCAAGGGTTGAAATACCTGGTGGTCCCTGCGCCCCCTGGTCGCCTTTTTCTCCTTTTGAGCCAGGAAGACCCCAGGATCCTTTTTCTCCTTTAACACCTGCCACCAAATATACATACATTTAAAGAATAAAAGTGGAAAATCGCCTCCATCCTATATAAAACATTTTTGAGACAAGTTTTTCAAGCTGAGCCCTTTTAGCAAAGTCCACTCAACAAACAAAGGCCTATTGCAGGTGTAAAATCCTTTGCTAACTGCTACTGATGGGGAAGACAGAGGTAGATGCAGCAGATGTAACCTTAACCTTGAAAGGCTCAGTCTTGTTGAAGAGGCAGACACAACAAAGGGTAATTGGAGGCAGGATGGGATAAGCACCACCACAAAGACACCAGCAGTGCATCATGGGAGCCCAGCAGAAGCTCCAGGTAACTCTCTCCCACAGCTTCACCCACATGCCTGAGGCTCCACACCAAGTCAGGCTTGCAGTCCCCTCTCAGCTGTGCCTGGGCAACATGGCAGTATCAGGGGAGGAGATCTCCCAGGAGTGTCCACAGAGGACGAGGTGGGGCCCGAGTATTCCATTGACAGAGTTGGGACAATGCCAGCTGTGTGACATCCCACTCCCCGCAGGGCTTGTGAGAAGCACTTTTCTGCAGAACTGACACCACAGGCATCCCCCTCCCCCGACTCTTACTAGGGGGGAGGCATGAGCTCCTTCCAGGAGGTCAGCATTTAGGAAGAGGGGTTATCCCCTTCCCCTGCCTTGATGAGCAGTGGAGACTAGATCTTTGAATTCATTGGTTCCCAAACAGTATGAGAGATCAACTGATCAAGGCTCTTGAGCCTAGAGATGAGGGCATGCAGCATAGATAGTTTGGGGCTCAGGCTGCCCAGCGTGGGAGAAGGGACGTGTCAGAGACACAAAGCTGCCGGGGGGTGCCCTCACATCTGGCAAGGCCCCACTGACCTAGGGGAGCTGCTGAAGCCGGGACCTGGAGACTGGGGCTCTTGGGGCCTTCACTCAGCCACAGTGAGGCCACAGACAGCGGTGCTGACCAGAGAAGAGGACCGGGAGCTCACCATGGCCCATGTGGCTGCTCGGCCAAGGGAGCAGGAGTAGGCCCACGAGTATGCAGGACAACTGGCTCACTAGGGCCTGTATCCAGAAAGGTCTATTCCCTTCCCCTCCTCTCAGAAGAACCCCGTTAGGAAGGGGAATCACTGGGGACTGAGAAAGTAAAGCTACATCCACCCTTCCTCTCCAAGGCCCATCTTGCAGTGGGAGGAAGGGAAATCCTTGAACTGGATCTGAGCACGGAGTTTGAAAACAGCCTGGACTTTTTAATCAAAGTGACAGAGAAACCATGGCGCCAGATTTCATCAGGGAGATCACCACCTGGCAGGCCATGGGTGCCAGAGCCCAGCCAGAGGTCAGTACTGGAAAGAAAAGAAAGTCTTCCCCTGTTTAACGGCAAATGTTCAGGCTTCTCAAGCAAAGGGGGGACAGCTCTGGTTGGGTGGCTCATTTGGTTGGAGCATCGTCCTGTGCAGCAAAAGGTTATGGGTTCCATCCTCCATCAGGGTGCGTGCAGGAGGCAACCAATCAATGTATCTCTCTCACATCGATGCCTCCTTATCTCCCCAACCCCCCGCCACTTCCTTTCTCTAAAATCAATAAACATATCCTCAGGTGAGGATATAAAAAAAAAAAAAAAACAAGGGTGGGAGGGACAAAAGCATGTGTGGGGACAGAGATCAGAGTGAGCGCTCACATGCATGCTCGGTTTCCTGGCCTCTCCCACTCACTGATGTGTGGTAGATGCTGCTACAGGCCTCAGCTTTGTCAATGTTTACTGATCAAATGCTCAGAGCCAAGGCTTCTCATACTCTACTGCAGGGAGTTTGTTAAGATGCAGCTTCCAGTTCAGCAGATCTGCAGCAAGGCCGAGGGTTCTGCATTTCTAACAAGCTTCCAGGAGATGAAGATGCTGCTGGCTCCAAAATGCTTTGCAGCAAAGGTCTTTTGAACTCCCATGGCCCCACACTGTACTAGCTCTTGGCACATTGCATTGTAGTGGTTTTTAAAATACTTTCACCTCACAGAGCCTAAGGGCCTGGGTGGCAGGAATGGTGGAGGGTTCCCCTGTCTCAGCCCAATGCATGGGACAGCACCAAGCAAGGAGAGGGTTACCAGTGGATATTTTATGAACAAACTCACCAAAGAATGAACAAATGGAGTGCTTCCTGCTAATTAGGAGGTTCAGCCAAGATGTGTAGAACAGACAGGTGGGTGTGAAAACCAAACAGAAGTGCCCAGTCCCACAGCCTTTGCTCAGCTGTGAGTCCCCCTCCTAACACATGCAGCCAGGTCTTCCTGAACACCTAGTCTATGCCCATGGGCAAATAGAAACCACCCTAGAAGGGGCACAAGGGCCTGGAAATATTCCAGAAAAACAAAGTGAAGAAGGGAATGTGTACCGTGAAAGGTGATGAGTTCTGAGTTCCCAGGATGAGCAGTACCAACCTAGAGAGAGAGAAAGGCAAGGCCATACACTGTGAACCCTGTCCTGGTGTTTGCATGCACAGCTAGCGACTGTCCCCTTCCTGGGGGGCCTGTGGCTGGAGGAGCAATGTCGTGGAGTTAGGCTTTTCTCTGGCTCTGGGGTCCTCAAAAGCCTTGAGCTCCCCAGCAGCTCTCAATGTACAGGAGTCCCCCACCTTCCACTGGGGTGCCTGTCAGGTGCTGGGCTGGGCTGGGCTGACTGAGACCTCCTGGCCAGGCAGCCCTGCAAAGGGGAAGCCCAACCGAGAGGACTGTTGGCCTCCTTTCCTGTCAATGAGGATTGATTCACGGCAGAGGTCAAGCTTTTGGGCTCGTGGCGTGCCCAGCCGTGAAGCTGGGCTGCCATTAGTTTGGCTACTGTGCATGGTGAGGGGTGAGAATAATGAATGGGTTGGGGGTTGGTTTTCATCACGTAGGGAGGGCAATTCTGGACTTCATAATAAGTGTCAGGGGTCTGGAATCCAAGCTCTTCTAGATAATATTCCTTCCTGGCTCACTCCCAGATTCCTGCATTTCTTTACCAATTAAAACAGATCCACCTGCAACCATGCTTTTAATAGTCCATGTTCCCCTTTTTCCCAGTTGATATGTGGAATCAGAATGATCGCCCTGGTGCCAGGATCCCCCTATGCTTTCGGGTGGAGGATCACAAGCTGCTCAGGGGTCGTCAAGAGAAGATGGGGGCGGGTGCGGTGGGAATATTCCAGGGAAAACATTTCTAGGCTGAGGATGAAGGCAGCAGCGCCAAGCTGATATCTCGCAGCTCTGCCAACAAAGTCCCTCCACTCTAAGCGTGAGCTGTTAATCATGGTGGTAGGAAAGGGGCTGAAATTCAAAGGGGCTTGCAAAATGCTGGATGTGAAAGGAGGCATTTCTTTTTCAAGCGTCCATTCTGAGAGCTGGTCAAGAAATGTCAAGGGTCCAACCCCTACGGGGTCCAGCAGCATGAAATCAATAACTCAGCAAAAATGCTCTGATCTTAACTTTGGCTTCTTTTAAGGAATCTCATGACCCCCAAAGGCCATGGTTACTGCCAAGGGTCCTAGTCCAGGTCATGGTAATTGCGGTCGCCCTTTTCACAATACTCTCAAGTTTGTCAAGTGCTGCCCCGTGGCTGGTCCATGAGGCGCCTGCAGTGGTGTCATCCGGGAGGCCCTGGGGGCACCAGCCCGTGGCAGGACCTGCGGCGGGCCTTTGCCTCGCAGGGCTGCAGTCTTGCCTTCTGCACTGTAGGCGGGGAATGCAGCTGCTGCTCAGGCGGGGCCCTCCAGCGCTGGTAATTCCTGTTTCCCTTCAGGCCATCGACATAAACAGGACCCAGGTTGCTGCTGTCCTCACTTAGATCTGAGAGCCAGCAGGCCCCTTGGTCACCTTATACAGGTGAGTCCTGTCCTCTGCCTTCCAGGCCAGAGTTCCCAGGTCCTGGGCGGCAGGCTTGGGTGCCTTGATATTAAGACATAGACAGATGTCTAAGCAAACACACAGCCAAACAGTATCATTGCAGAGCCTCTGACCCAAGCCTCATTGCCACTCCCGACAGGCATCAACTGTGAACTCACTTCAAGGAGTCTTTTAAGACATTCAATTAATTTATTTTTTAGGGAATAGTTCTAAATGGTAACTTGCAAGCTTCTGAGAACAGAGACCAGCCCTGTCTAGTTCCCACCGTGTCCCCAGGGCCTTGCAGAGTACTTGGCGCTCCGTAAGTACTCAGTCAGTATTTGTTGAATGAAGGAGAGGATGATTAAGCACAGCTGTGTGACTAATGCTCGTGCACATGGAGAGGCCCAGCCTTCCTGGGTTTCCCCACGGAAACAGGATTCTCCTAATAGGGGCGAGACCTCAGGCACAGCGCCACGGACTAGCTGGGCGACCAGTCACATGCCTGACCCCTCCGCGTCACAGGGCTTGCACCTGCTGCCTGGTGGTCAGGGGACCTAAGTAATGGTCCCAGCTCAGTTGGTCCCGTGACCTTGGACAAGTCAATGAGCTTGTCTGAATCACAATTTGCCTCTTTATTATAAGAGGGAGAGAGAACGCTGCCTCTCAGTTTGTGTGCTGTGCAGTAATGACAACCGGGGAAGGACAGCACACAGTTACAGACTTGAGCCCAAAGTTGCCAGTGCAAAAAGCACTGGTTAGAATTGCTTTATTTTTCTTTCTTTTCTTTTCTTTTCTCTTTCTCTTTCTTTCTTTCCTTCTTTCCTTCCTTCTTTCTTTCTTTCTTTCTTTCTTTCTTTCTTTCTTCCTTCCTTCCTTCCTTCCTTCCTTTCTTTTTCTTTTTTTGTCTCATCTATCTTTTAAAGATGTCTACTTTCTCTTATTATACTGTTCCCAGCATGAATCTAATATGGTTACAGTAACAAAAGACACTGCTTTTTGATGATATTAAAAGAAACATTTTCAGCCTGTGTCCCCTTAGAAGATCCAGTATGTTTCATTGATGTGGTCTGTTATTTAGAAGCTTCTAGTCACCTAAGGGTCTATATGTAAGTGATACAAGACATCAAAAAGGACATTGATAGATAAAAAGGGCTCAGGACAAAGACCAATCACCTTCTGCAAGATGCGTTCTATGCCAAGCCTGCTCTTTGCGGCAGTGACTACATGCTACTTACGGGCACTTTGCAGTGTGGCCGGGCTGGTATGGGGAAGACAGCCTGCGGGAAGAGGGAAGTGAGAACGAGACAAGTGAGGCCATGAGGACGTCCGACTCGGGCTTAGGTCAGTCTGGTGCCCGCTCCCCCACAAAGGTCTTTCTTTCTCCCCACCTCCCTGCCACTTACTCCTTTGATGTTAACCACAGCTCCAGGTGGTCCAGGGGGACCTGGAGGACCAGGCAAGCCAGGTGGGCCCTGGACGGAGAAAAGAAAGGCCATTCCTGAGTTCAGGTTGTTGAGAATGCAGAGGCGACTGCAGGATACTTTCCCCACTTTCCCCAGGTTTTGAGGGCACAACGAGGAAAAGAGGGTCCTCTAAAGCCACCTAATTTCTCTCGTGGGTAAGCCAGTCCTTTCTACAGAGGTTTTCTACATACGAGGCCAGTCCAGACGTATCCAGCCATGTAATTTGAAAAATAGAGCTATTTATTGAAGAAGACACAAGATACAAGAAACACTGTACACAAGACAATGACACCTCAGTCCCCTTCAAAGTAGGCACCTTAGGACCTCACACAGCTCTCTCAGTCACCATCAGCTGCCCTGTTGTATTTTCCCGAATCTCATAGACAATCTGAAATCTCTTCCCTTTCAAAGGTGATTTTAGTTTGGAGAAAAACCAGAAGTTGCAGGGCACCAAATATGGGCTTTAGAGGGGCTGAGTCATCTGGGTGATTTGGGATTTTGCCAAAAAACTCGGCACGAGATATGATGCCTGAGTGGGCATGTTGTGAGGAAGCGGCGAATCACCAGTTGCCCACAGCTGCAGCCTTCTGAGTCATCTGGATACCCTCCACAGAGGAATGTTCAAGCTGAACACAAAATCTGATGCAGATTCATTGCTCTACTCCCTCAGTCATTTTGAATGCAATGGCCACACAGTACACGTGCTCACTCAGCAGCATCTACTGTCCCCGCTGCTTAGTGCAGTGAAGTCCTTGTTCACACCTGCTGCGCGTGCCAGCCCCACCCGCCTTGGCTGCCAGGTTACACTGATGTCGTGCAAACCATTCTTGTTATATTAGCAATGGCTGCACTTTTTCCAGACAGACCTCACATATGACCTCATTGCATCTTTCCAATAACCCAGGTGGAAGATAGCAGAGCAACAAGCATTATCTCCAGCTTACAAATGGAGAGACTGAGGCCCAAAGAGGGGAAGTGACCTGCTCAAGGCCACACAACAACTTATGGCAGGACTGAGACTGGAACCCAGATTCTGACTCCAAGAGCAGTGCTCAGCCAACACTGAGCCTATCACGTCTCTGTCAGCACACCCCTAGCACGGAGCGGCAAGAGAGGTGGGGGGCCCTTCAGGCCGTATGGTACTTTGGAGAGTGCTAGTAAGTGCAAAAGTAAATGGAAAACTCTTGCTAAGTAGCAGATTTATTTTCAAAGCCAGGTCAGCCTGGCCATAATGCCATGCAATGTTTGCGCCTCTAAGCCTGGATCCCGAGCAGGATGTTGCAACCAGAGCGGTGGGGCTCTGACCACAGGCATGAGGAGTCTAGCCCACTCCGAAACTGCACTGACCGCCCTAAGCGAAGGCAGAGCTGGCTGCTTCTCACAGGAGCGCCAGTAAGCTTGATGACGGTGAGTTGCCCAAAGCTTCAGTAAAATTGCTTTTCTGGATTCCTGGACATACAAACCAGACAATGTGGTGCAAACTGAAGCAGCAATGGACTTAGAGCTGAATTTGCATCTTCACTTGGTGACCTTCAGTGCGTCACTTAATACCCATAGACCCAAGTTTCCTCTTGAACAAAACAAGGCCCCCACTGAGGGTCTCTCACGGTACTTATTGAAAAGACTGAGATACTGTCCTTAAAAGCACTCTGTACAGTGTCTGGCTCCTGCTGAGACCCCCACTGTCTGCCATCCTGTAAGACATCACCCAAGTAGCTGATCTACCTTTGCTATTCACTCACAAGCATTTATGAAGCCCCTGGTGACGTGCAAAATCCCTGGAACTGTGTCACAGAGGGAAGACGGGTGTCACCCAAGTCAGAAGACCTGGGATTTGAAACCAGGTTTCCTGAGTATGTGCCCATGGCAGTCCCCCACCCTCCCTCAGGGGTCTGGATGAGGAAGCTTATGCTCCACTTCACTAAGGTGCTTTCGGTGGCAGGCACTCTCCTGAGAGTGAGCTGGAGGACAAGGTGGGGCTGGAGGGCTTTTGGAGGTGGCAATGGAGGAAGAAGATTATGGCTTACAGGCTGAACATTAGGTTCAAAAGCCTCGTTCATTGGACCTGCCACTCTCTCACCCCCTCTGGACACTGGCCTTGTGGCTCTGTCCCCAGGGTGTTGTGGGGCTGGGGCGGGGCTTGTGGCACTCACCGGCATCATGATTCCTCGATCTCCTTTGGCACCCTTGAAGCCATTCAGTCCTGGTCGACCCTGAAACCCACAGAAGACACCTTAGTAAACCCACTGCCCACCAGCCAGCCTGGCCCACAAGTCCTCTCTTACATCCAGTCTGAGGAGCCCTGACACCTACAGGTCGTCCAGGGAAGCCAAATTCTCCTTTGTGTCCTGGTGGTCCTTTGGGCCCCTAGAGGCAAAACAAATACCAACCATTTCAGAAAAGAACAGAAACTCAAGGGTGAGGGACATGGGGCGCTGCACCTGCCTTTGTGGGCAGTGGTGACGATGAACCACTGAGAGGAGGAAGGAGGGCCAGGAGCCAGTATGAAGTATCCACCTGCCTGGCTCCTTGTCTCCCAGCCTCTCTGTGCTCAGCGTGAACCATCTGCTCAACCCACCGCCACCCCCCACCATCCTATAAGCTTTACCCCATCCCAGACTCTGCACCCAACCATCTCAGACAGTCAAGCTAATGAAGGGACCCAGGTAGCCTGACGCCGGTCAGCTTAGAATGTGGGCCTTCGCCCCAGGTCTTATGTCCCAGGGCCCTCCCTGTCCCCCATTGGAACAATGCAGCCTTGCCCTGCCCCTCATGCCAGCCCATCCTGATAACCTGCTCCGGGATCTGGTTTCTGCCTTGTTCCTACCTGTCCCTAAGGACCGAGGTCTTGGCCTGCCACCCCAGTTCTCCAGATAAGTCCCTGATCCCAGGGTCTTATTCATTCCAGGGCTGGCTTTCTACATCCACATGCTCCCAGAGCCTCTGCCTTGTTCTGACCTCCTGCAGGAACCCTCATGCCTTCCGGCATCTGGGATGCGTGAAATGCACCGCCTCTCACAGAACAACCTCTCCTGCCAGGCTGCTCCTTCCCTCCTGCAGTCAGGCTGCCCTGTCTCCCACAGAAATGACTGGCTTAAATGTGTGGCCCTTCTTCCTGCTGCCATTAACATAGATAGTCATGCACTGGAAAAATGGCAAAGACTGAGTTGAAACAGGCCCTGTGTTTAAAATACCCAGGCTACGTCCCGCTTAGGCGAAGAAAAGCAAGAACAGAAGGAGTTAACAGAACACAGGCTACTAGGTGATACGCTCTAGTATCGTACGTCAATGTGTATCAGTGTCACCTGGGATCTTGTCAAAATGCAGATCCTATAGGTCTGGGGTGCGGTCTAAATCTCTCCATGTCTAACAAGCTCCCGGCTGATACAGACGCTGCTGATCCATGGGTCATGAGTAACAGGGCTCTAGTGAGTTTGTAAGGAAATTATAAGCCACACTAGGCACAAGGGCCAGAGTTGGCCAATATGATACCTTTATGCAAATTAGAAGAAGGTGCCCCCTACTGTCTGTGCTTGGCAAGCTGTGCACCAAGCTGGCCTGTGGTGGGAACAACCTCCATGGCCGTCTGCAGCAGACTGGGGCCAGCATTGCTAACTAGTGGTGTTTCCCATGGTATTGAATGTTAGTTAAGACTCTTCCAGGCTGCCTTAGCCCTCAGCTACCCCTCTCCAAGGCATCCATTCTGCCTGAATTAAGGGACCAAAGGTCTCCGAAGGTCCTGTGAAGGAATGCACCTTGCATGTTATGGGCCATTCATCAAGGACATGTGCCTGTTAGAGCAATGTGAGGCCCTTTCTCCCCAGGCCTGAGGTCCAGCTTCAACCAAACAAACCCTACGTGCAATGCTGCAGCCTAAAATGTTTCAGAGGAATGAAGGTGTTTATTGGAGACGGTGGTATGTGGCAGGGAGAACCTGGATGCAGAGTCTTACAGGCTGGGTTCAAATCCCCGCTGGACTGCTTACAAGCTTGTGAGACCATGGGCAAGTTACCTGACCTCATTGACCTCAGTTTTCTGGTCTGATATGTACCTCTGAGGGTGGCAAGGATGAAATGAATGAGCTGTCCGAAGTATCAGTACAGTGTCTGACACAGAGTGGATGTTCTACACCTGAATTTTTTTTGTTCCTTGGTGAGAAATATATGACAAGGAAATTTAAGGTTCACCCTGGGGAGAACGGGGAGCTTAAAAACTGTTCACCAGCCCAAATGCGTTAGATTCCTGAGAAGTAAGGCAAGAAGGGTGCTACCATGTCATCTAGTACTAACTCACTAACCTCTCTTGCAGATGGGAAAAATGAAGCCCAGACAGAGAAGAGGACCTGTTCAAGGCCTCACAGGAGATGAGCAGCGGATCCCCATCCAGGACCCGCAAAGCTCAAAGCGCGTTTCTGGGGTTCCCTGGGCCGTGGCAATCGTTAACTGGCAAGACCTGTGATATAACCGCCAGCGCCCCCCACCATCCGGTTCTCCTCTCCTTCCTGGGCACATGCCTAAGCCGTATTTCTGAGGCCCCATCCACCCAGGCATCTGAGCTCTGGCCAGTAGAATGTGCTAGAAGTGATGTTCATCATTTTCTAAGATCTCGCCTCCTCCTCAACCGTGGCCTACCAGCTAGAAGATGCCAGTGTGGCCCTGACTTCACAAGATGGCAGAGCCAGCCCTGACCAGCATAGCTCAGTGGGCTAGGCATCATCCTGCAAAGTGACAGGTCACCAGTTTGATTCTTGGTCAGGGCACATGCCCAGGTTGTGTGCCAGTCCCCTATAGGGTGTACGAGAGGCAACTGATGTTTCACTCTCACATCGATGTTTTTCTCCCTCTCTCCTTCCCTTCCCCAATCTCTAAAAATAAATAAATAAAATCTTTAAAAAATAAAAGATGGTAGAGTCACAGGCTCTATGCATCCTGGATCCCTGAGTCACTTCTTGGAGGCAGCATGCCCAACGAGCAACAACCACAGTGGACTTTATAAGTGAGTGCTAAGCTGCTCTTGTGTTAAGTAACAGATTTTTATTTAATTGCGATTAGCTTACCTCAACCGGTAAAGCTCAGTTGGTTGGGCATTGTCCCGCAAAACGAAAGGTCACTGGTTCAATTCACACACTGTGCCACATCCTTTTTATTTTCACACCTGGGACAACTCAGTCTAATTGAGCTAAAGTGAAGCATGAGAAATGCTTCAAAAGCCGGCCCAGACCCTGCAGGGAGATGCTGTGCTTACCATTGGTCCCGGGGCTCCATGCATTCCAGGTTCACCCTAAAACGGAGAGATATAGACGTGTCACTCAGAGGAACACACTTTGTGGCAGACACAGAGATAGGATACCAGCGGGGATGTGTGCCTTCAGGGCCTGGTGACATAATTACCTTTTGTCCCCTCAGCCTTTCCAGAGGAACATCCCCCGTCAGGATGGCGCCCGGCTCTCCCTTCTCACCCTGCAATTGAGAGAACCTTTCAATGAAGTCGGGCTCCTTCTCGCCACCTTATCCAGAGGCCCATCTCCATGATTCTGCTGCCTTTATCCCACCCCTCCAACCCCACTGCTTAGCTCAGACATGACCCTTGCTAGAGTATTATAACAGCCTCCTAAGTAACTGAATGCTCTCTGGGCCACAGGCTGGGGTGCTGCCGGCCCCTCCACGCCAGCCCCTCCAGGGCTCCCACTGCCGACAGACTGACATCCTCACTCTCCATGAACCGGCCCAGCAAGATCCTTCCCACCTCTTGCTGCACAGCACCTCTCCCCGCCTCCGGAACCTCTGACCCCTAATCCACTTGGTGGCTTGCTTTCCTAACAACTCAACTTGAGATCTGTTCCCACCAAGGATCCTTATTCTCGTTAAAACTTCTGAAGCTGGGGAAGAGATGAAGGTATAAACACCAGAGACCTCTGTCAACAAAAGGCTCCCTGTCTCCTTGTGAACTTTGCCTCCCAACTCCAGGCTCCTGTGCAAACTCGACAAGGCAAAGTCTTTCAGTTGTTGGGATACAGGGCAGACAGGGAGATGGGTGGCAGGGGCACAGGCTCCTGTCCTCAGCAGAGCCACCTACGAAACCAGAAGGCTTCCAAGAAGGTATGTACTATGAGAAAAGGCCAGGTAGAGGATCCTTCTATATCACTCTGAGGCATGGGCCCCAAACTTCCATGCTGACCCCTGGGGAACTGGGCTGGACCATGTTCCAGTCTCCCTTCCTTGGGGGCCAGAAGCAGCCAAAGCAAGCACAGCGGCCTCTCCTCTCCGCCCCCCTAATCCCACACCTGATATTAGGATCTTACCACTCCGCTGGTGAGGAAAGGCAGTCCTGAGCAGGCCAGCAGCAAGAAGAAGTGAGTACAAAAGCATTAGAGGCAGAGCAGGAGAAAGTGAGTTTTCTGTTAGGACTGAAGCAGAGCTGCCTGAGTGGCTAACCCAGTGTTCAAGGTGGCAGGGGACTAGGGGTGGGGGTTGCACGAAGGTCCCTCTAGATCCATCTGACCTCATCACATAGAAAACAGAGCATTTGAAGCAAGAGCCACTCTTGCATGACCAGGTCCCCTCCCAAGCCATCTCCGTAGCCCTAGGCAGCAAAAAGTATCCCAAGACATCGCCCCCAGTGGCGCCAAACTTAGACCCCTGTGCCCTGCACACTGAACCCTCCACCTCCTGGAATTGTGGTCTAAAAGGCACTGGATTTTAGTCCACATGCTTCTCTACCTTGGGGCTAGTGTGGAGTGGTGGGGGTAGGGAGGAAAGACAGAGGCCTAACACTCCCTAACCCTCCCTCCTCTTACAGATATCCCACCCCTCACCTCCCTAAGGCAGGCTCAGCGGTTGCTTCCTCTGGCTTCGCACAGACCCCCATTACACCAGTGACCACACTTTCTGCTGGCTCTTTGCCTGTCTATCCCTCTTATCTTATTTCTATATCCCTAGAGCCCAGTGTAGGAGCCTGGCTGGGACTGCTTAGGGAATGGATATAAGAAGGATGAGTCCGTAAATGGATGGATGAATAAATGCATGCACTCCAGAGTCTTTGCAATCTGTTTATGGATGTCTCCCTTGTCTATATACACCGACTGGGAAGTTAATTCTAAGGGGCCCATGTGCAGGGTACAAAGGTCAGTTCAGTGCTCTAGCCGTTCCCAGGATGTGCTCTGCATACCAAATATTAATCCCAAAGATTCTGGACCAAGACTGCCATTAATTATACATTCTTTGATCCAACAGATCAAAGTTGGAGTGTCATTTGTGTACCAGGCCCCGGGCTAAGTACTGGAGGGACAAAAAAGAAACTGGTCGAGGCCTGCCCTTAGGGAACGCATACTCTCAGGGGTGCCCAACAGGCAGTTAGACAAAGCATAGCGCATGTGATAACAGCATTCAAGGGGGTGTTGGTTGAGTTCTTTTTACAAACTATGATGAAAATCAATTTCTCTACCCACAGTCTACCTTCATCCTGGAGGAACCTTGAGACTATGAAAGTGAACAGCTGAGGAGTGACTGCTAATAGGAAATGGAGTTTCTTTTGGGCAAGATGAAAATGTTCCGTAATTAGGTAGTAGTGATAGCTGTACAACCTTGCGAATGTACTAAGAAACCAATCAATTTTATAATTTAAAGGCATGGATTTTATGGTATGTGAATTATGTCTCAAATTTTTTTAAAAAAGTGAATAGCTACTTTCAGCCAATTTGAAATGTTTTGTAAATGCGGGAGCATGACACCGCCCGAATATTCGGGCCCCTCTTACCTGTTCTCCTTTTAGTCCTGGAAATCCAGGCACGCCAGTGTCCCCTTTTGGTCCTCTAGGGCCCTAGAAGGAATCATTGGAGAGTATTTTGTTGTTTGTTAAAACTGAAGTGCTTTATCCAAATACAAGTATTTTTTTTTTCAAAAAGTAGAACAATAGGGAGTGCCATTCTCCTGGTAGGTGGAAGTCACAAGCGGTCATATTTTCCTGATTTTAGGTGGTCTAGAACCTGCGGTCTGGTGGAAAGAAGACAGCACTGAGCCCCACCCCTCTTTGAACTTCGGTTTCCTCCAATGGGCACTGTGGAAACAGCCGGGTCCTGCTGCCTCTGCCTCCCCACGGGTCTTCCGGGCCACCCTGCAGCCCACCTCCCCTGACTGCCCACCTTCCGCAGCTCCCACTCCTGCTCCGGCTCCCCACTACCCTGTGGGACGGTATCCGGACACCCTAGCTGGATACCCAAGCCCACCCCGGCCAGCCTCAGCACCTCGTCTTTCACCCCCCACCACGCCCCGCGGGGGAGCCTTTTCCTGTACCCTCTCCGCACTCCCTGCTGCCTTTGCGCTTCTCTTCATGCCATTCCTCCTGCATGAACGCCCATCCACCCCTTGTGCAGCCAAATTCTGCACACCCTGTCAAAGTTGACCTCTCCTCACCTCCAGCAGACACTGTGTGTGACTCACAAAGCCGCACACCTGCCCCGAAAGACATCCCAACACTACTGCCATTTGGCTTCTCACAAGTCCCTGTCTTGTCTTCTGGGTTAAAGGGTGAGATACCTTAGAGCACTTTCTATACAAAAGTGCACTTCCACCTCCCGTGGTGGAAGCCCCAGAGTGTGGGGCACACCGACTGTTAATTATTGGGTGTCTAGCCTGTGCTTCTCCTCCCCCCCAGCCTCCACTACCACCATCCTTGCTCTGTAGGAACTTTATCTACTGTATCCACTTGAAATACTTGACTTATCCACCCCCACTCATAGGAAGCCAACCATTGGCCGGCCCTTGGGTAGAGAGAGGTGAGTAAGACTCAATCCTCTACAAGGTGCTCACAGTGCAGTCAGTCAGGGAAAAAAGACAATGACACATGTAACTGTTATGAAAGACAGAAAGGGACCACAGCAGAGGTGAAAATAAAGCCCTATGGGACAGACCAGAGAGAAGGACGATTCCCGGTAGGGGACAATGAGGAAGGGTTACACGGACATTGTGGCGCTAGAGCTTGGTCATGCAGATGGAGAGCAGAATTCCAGGTAGAAGAAATAGAATGAGCAGGGGCACAGAGGGAAGATGGCGACTGTGGTACTCACTGGGAACCCGGGAAGCCCAGGCACGCCCGCCGGGCCCTGTGACACAACAAAGACAAAGCAGGTGGTTTAGGAGCATTTCCAGAATTGGCAGGAGCGCGGTGCCTTAGGGGCCCACCCTCCCCACCTAGCACCTTCCGAAGGCTTAAGCCTGTTCCCACACAGTGGGGCTCATGGTCCATTTTGCAGAAGAGGATGTGGAGGCCTGGGAGAGGACAGAACTTGTGCAGAGTCACACAGCCGGTCAGTGACCAAGCCAGAAACTGTGCCCAGGCATCCGGAGCCCCTGCCCCCTAGAGCCAGAACTGCCTGCACTGTATGTGGCCGCCACCTCCTCCTCCTCTGTGAAATCACTCAGTATCTGAAACCTCGGGGGGTCGTGAATGCATCACTCGACTTCAACAAACACAGAAAACAGGTTCCTAAACTCTGAGGATTGGGGCCAAAAGGTGTTCCGGAGCATTTGAGGGTGGAAGTTGGGGCCTGTGGGTGAGACTCAGGTCTTTTCCCTGGGTAGGATAAGGGGAGGAAGGAGGATCTGAGAGGTGGGGGGCACAACAGGCAGACAAGGCCCAGGGACTCTTAGAACAGAGATGCCTCATCTCCAACTGTAGGCTGTCTGTGTTTTGCTTTAGTATCAGCCCACTAACATGTTAACTGTCTAACAGTTTGGGGGAAAACCAAGACCCTCTAGGAACTGACTTTTGCTTGTTAGCTGGTTTGCTTTCGGGTTTGATTAATGGAGATGATTTTAGTAGAAATCAAGGAAAGGGGACCCTGTTAGATATAGTATAGAAGATACAGCACAATGACCTGCCAGCGGAGGTCACTCAGCTACAGAAAAAACCGGCTCTCGAGGAACCTCCCAGATATTGGCAGAAGCCCTGATGAAGGCACAGGGGGTTCAGGCCGACCTCGCTGGGGACGGCAGGAGCAGGTGGCCCCCACAGACATCTGGGCTACCCAGCTGTAGAAGCTTTCATCTCCACGTTGGCCTACACGCAGTGCCACAGTTTGCAAAGCAGTTTCCCATCCACGATCTCTTTATAAGCTGCCCCCACAATTGGTGAGGCATTATTGGAGAAGAGCCTCAGTGGTATGCAGCAGAGATGGGGCTGGAACCCCAAGACTCCTATGGCTAGAGCTCTTCCCTCTCCCAGCTGCCATGAGCAGATGCTGGAAGATGCAATGGGACTGACGGCACAGGCTGTGGGAGGCAGCTTCCTTCCTCTTAGATTTTCTTGTGCCATGGGCTGACCCTGTGGACTTACAGAAATAATGCAGCTTCTTTGTGTGTTCCTGATGTCTCAAATGGGGCAAGAAAGACTGAAGCAAGTCATGCTCCCCCTTCATGTGCCGGTTTGTCCATTTAGCACAAGGGTAGGTCTCTCTAGGCTCTGGCTATTCTGTGAAATGAGATCACGTCGGTAGAAGCAGGCCAAAAGCACTGCACAGACGTCAGTCAGTTTATGACTTATGATTCTCTGATTTCCATTGCTCATATTTGTGATGCGTGGGACTGGAAGCTTCCACTGCTTCGGACAAAACTCCCTGCACAATCAAATGAATGTGAGAGCAACTTCTCAGAAACGCAAAGTTCTCTTTCCATTCTACTTTGACATAGTCTAGCTCTATGCCTCAGCAGCTAAAAGGGTTGCAAACCAACGCAACCTAGTTTCAACAGGGGCATCTGGATAGGAACCTCACTCTCAGGCAGCTGTGGATACACACCGGAGGCCCAACGAGCTCAGGAATGTCCGAGAGATTCATGAATCCATGAGTGACGTTGATCGAAGACTGAAAAGAGAAAAACCAGACAATGAGACAGAGGGTGGCATATGTTCCCCCATGCTCCTGGCAGCGAGGCTTTAATTAAAGTCAGCCAGCATGGCAGAACAAGGCAGGCTGACCACACCCTAAACCCGCTGCCAGACCACACCCGTTCCTCCCACTGCTTACGAAGGGCACCGAGCTGCCTTATTACTTTCTTCTTTCAATCCATCTTAAAAATTGCATAATACATGAATGCCTTCTCTTTTAAAATTATATATATATAATTTTAAGAAAGCTTGTAGTATTGTTGGGGGTGTGTGTGTGAGCATGCATGTAGTTATTTTATTTTTAATATTTTAATTTTTAAATTATAGTTGACATACAATATTAGGTTAGTTTTAGGTGTGCAACATAGTGATTAGACAGTTATATAACTTACAAAGTAACTACCCAAATAAGTCTAGTACCCATCTAACACCAGACATTACAATATTATTGACTATATTCCTTATGCTGTACTTCCATGTAGTTATTTGATGTAAATGGCATCAGGCTGTATGTATTATTCTTCACCTTGCTTTTTTCACTCAACCTTATAGAATGGAAATCTTCCCATGAGGAATTTTGGGGTACAGACGTTTTTGGTTTTAACAGATTGCCAAAACGCTGTCTAGAGGGGTCACACACTTTACATTTCAACCACAGCATGTGAGATTATCTATTTCACCACACCCTTACCTACATATAATATTTTTAATTTTATGTATATATAATATTGTTTCTCTGGTTATCTTTTTAAAAATCATTTGGGAATGTTTTGACTTTCTGTTGTCTATCATATAGATCATCTCTCTCAGAAGGGCCACAGTTTTTCACAAATGTGATATCCTAATTTTTTAAATATTTTTTATTTTATTTATTTTTAGACAGAAGGGAAGGGAAGGAGGAAGAGAGGGAGAGAGGGCGAGAAACATCAATGTGTGGTTGCCTCTAGAGCACCCCCCACCAAGGACCTGGCCTGCAACCCAGGCATGTGCCCAGACTGGGAATCGAACCGGGACCCTTTGGTTTGCAGGCTGGTGCTCAATCCACTGAGCCACATCAGCCAGGGATTATGTCCTAATATTAAGTGGACCATTATCTGGTCCCAACCCACATCCCACTCTTCTCTACAAAATTTCCATCACTCTACCCAATTCCATGCCCATCAGCTCTCTGTGCTTTATACACACACACACTTTTTTTATTCTGTGTCTTGCCTCAGAGTACCTCTGCCACCTGAATTCTGGAAGTCCTGTCCTCCATGCTTACATAGTAAAATTGTTCTTAGCTTTCAAGTCCCTGCTCAAAGCCACTTCCTTCAGAAAGTCGTCTTTGTTACATCATAATCCAAACAGTCTTTCTCCCTCGTATCTCAATTTTTGTTCCTTTGCTTCTCTGTTACAGGCATTCTCGGGAGTACAAGTGCTGCCAACCAGAAGAGAGTGTTCTGGAAGCACCATGTAAGAGAATAGTGAGAGAATAGAGAGAATAGGGTAGAAACAGACAGGTGGGGCATGCTGGCAGATGGAAGCTCTGAAGCCCAATGTCAGCCTCTTGCATAACCAGCAGCCCCAAAGGCCCTGAAGTTGTGGGCTATCTTCTCTCCCCTTTAGCAAAGGTAGAAAATAAATAGCCACATTCTGACCTGGGTGATACTCACACTAGATAAGACCTCGATGCGCCCTGGTGGCCCCCTGGGCCCAGGGGGGCCCATAGTGCTGGCTCCATCCATCCCTCTTTCACCCTGGATACAGTAGCGAGAGCAGAGAAACAATTCATTGAACATGGATAATACTCCCAGAACCAGGCTGGACAGTTCTCACACCGCACCTCAGATCTGTGACCTCACCTTGAGTCCTGGCTCTCCTTTTTCTCCTTTGGGACCCTGGCAAAATAGAAAAATAACTTTGTTTGGGTTTTTTGGGTTTTTGTTTTTGCTTTTTGTTTTTTTTTGTTCACTTTGCTCACTGTCTATCCTTGGATCTCACCATCTCTCCATACACTTTCCTGTGAATTTTGTCCCAGGCAAGGGAAGGCAGAGATGAAGGGTAAATTGGCCTCCCAGAGTTAGAACACCCAACAGGGAGCAAGGAGACCAGAGGTCCTCTCCCAGCACAGGGTGAGTGCCCTCTTGACCCTGAATCCCAGAGTCCTCTGCATCTGGGGGATGGGGAAGCTCTTCCTAGTCAATCGTGGAGGGAGTTGTGTGCTGTCCTGTGCAAGGTGAGGCTCCTCCTAGACCAGGTGCTCAGCTCTGGGTGCCACATGACAAGGATAATGAGGTCCCAGGGGCTGGTCCTCTTTAACGGCATGTATCATAGCAGAAGATGGGCAGATGCAGCGGGGAGGGGTCTAGATGCAGTGGGAGGAGCACCTGTCAGGAGCTTGGGCTTTCACATGGGTCACACTGTGAGTATTGAATGGGGCAGCAAGAAGGAGGAAATGAGGCAGAGATGCTGGATAGCGAGGGGCTGCAGAGAGAGGGATAAAGATGATCTGCAAGCTTTCCCATAGGATGTTTTGTGCAAAACTCCTGCACTGCACCTCAAAGAAACACACTGTAAAGAGCACCTACACAGCTGGGCACTGGAGGCACAGAGAGGGTGAACTATTGAAAGCAGCGGAGCGGGGGATGGCACTGCACAGTCTCCCCACTCCAGCGTGACAGCATGCCACTCCTCAGAATGAAGGTTTCAAAAGTCAACCTACAATTGTCATTACTGGTCCAGAGATGCTGGGTCCCTGCAGTAGCTTGATGTTTCCAGAGCCTTCGGTGTCCTAGGGAAGGAAGAACAGTGAGAATTTCAGGTCCAATTCCTGAGCTCCTACTTGTGCCAGGTGCAGTTCTGGGCACTGGAGCTTGGTGGGAATCAGCACAGGCCCCCCAGTCGGGCCGGCGTTCAATGTACTGGCCTTCCCCGTTATCCTTAGGGCACACCGTTCTTCAACCCTGTAAAGGATGAAGGTACCTCAGATTCAAGTCCCATTGTACATCCAGGGCCTGGGGGGCCTGGGGGTCCAGGAGGCCCTGGGGGTCCCATGACCCCAGGAGTGCCAGCTTGTCCATTTTTCCCTGGGGGTCCTGGTGAGCCTCTGTTGCCGGGGTCACCCTGTAGGGAAGAGGGCAGGCTGATGACCCAGCCCTGGGTTCACTCATGGAAAGAACAACACATGCCCTGAGTCGGGAAATCATTCTTTGAGCTTAATTAGATTAATGAATTCTCTGATTGGTACTGCTTAATGGTACAGAAACAGCTGTCTGGCTAGTTGGCATTGGCCTTGATAGGCTTAGGCACTCATTTGAACGCGTTTGTGTGGAGGGGCGAGGAAGGAGAAAACATCTCAGGTTATTCACATCCTTCCATCTCCAGCTGTTCTGCCTTATCCAAGCAGCCCCTTTGAGAGGTGTTTCTCTCTGCTCCATACACTGAAATCCAGACCAACAGTCCAATTATAGTAAATCCACAGAGAGCGGAGGGAAGAGGAAAAAGCTTCTTTTTTTTTTTTTTCTTTACCTTTTCACCAACTGAGCCATTGGGCCCTCTTGCTCCCTGAAAAACAAACAAACAAAGAAACAAAAAGGACCAATTAATATATCTTATTAAGTGTGTTCAGAAGAAAGCGTAGAATTTTGGACCCTTAAGCAACGGGATATTTAAACGGGACTCTTCCTTTCCTGGTTTTGGCTGATGTCTCAAAGCTGAGTGCGTTGCAGGGGTGGTCAGTTTGCTAGGCAAGGCAGGCTGAGAGCTTGCGGGACCCATTTTTCAGCTATTAGCTCATCAGCGACTTGGAGAGTAAAAAGAAGTTGAAAAGTAACCACAGAGGGATCATAGTGGAAGAAGTCCCTTGGAGAGTGTACTGGGCAGCGCCTGTCCCCGCCCCTCCCATGATGGAAGCAAAGGGGTGCATCCTCTACTCAAGGCCAAAGGAAGGGGCTTCAAGAACTTGATATGTATTCTCTGGGCTTTTGGAGATCGGTAGAATGATGACTGACTCTCTTCTGAAAAAAATCTAAAGACTAAGTGAACCCAGAATGGCGGGGGCGCGGGCGGGGGGCGGATGTGTTGCATTAAAGCAGGTTGCATGTCCCTCCCCAACGAGGGTTGCAGTACAGGTTGCCTAGGGGCAGGGGGGTTAGATGTGGATCCCACAGAAAGGAGCCAGTTCTGAGCTCTGAGCAGAGGGGAAGACCAAGAGGGGCTGGCGGTCAGGAACAGTCAGCCACAGGAGACACTCTCCTACATCAGGGGACTGCAGCTATGGCCTCCCAGCTGGAAAATCATTGAAAAAACCTCAAAAGTACCCTCAAGAGAAGGAGTCAGCAATTGCAGGCTCACACACAAGGCCCTGACACCTGATCGTGATGTACTTGCCATCTAAGTCTGTGGCCTTCTCCCCAGTCCGATTTCTCTGGGCTAGGTTCCCTTCCCTATACCCATTCCATAGAAATGATAGAGTAGATAGTCCCAAAAGAGTCCACGTTCAAAGTGGAGAGTCATGTTGAACCTGGGATGGTGAAGGACACAAAGGGAAAACAGATGGGAAGCTGAAGCCAGAGGCTTCAGTCATGGAGAGAAACCAGGGAGAAGAGCATCGGGCAAAGTGGTGGTGGAAGCCAGGAGGAGGGCGTGGCTCTGACGGGGAGAGGGGATGAAATTCTGGAGCAGGGCGCAGCCCTGCCGCCCTGCCCACCCGCTCCCCGCCCACCCCCACGGCTAGCACAATGGCAGTTCACCGTTCTTTCCCGGAGCAAAGGCAAGGGCAGAGCCCCAGGGGCCCAGGAACCCTGGGAGGTCTAGGGGTCCCCCAAACCTCATAAGACCAGCTGATCAGTTGTTGAGGGGCCTGCCTGACGGCACATCCGATTCCTCCATCCCCTTCCTAAAACCTAGATGCCCCAGAAGTAGCTACTGCCTAGCTCCCAACAATCTGTAAAAACACGCACAGAGCACAGACCAATGAGGAACTCCAATTTTGAAAGCAAATGCACAAGCAAGAAACACCGCACATCGGAGGGAAGGCAACACTATGAGACACAGGCAACAACATCAACAATGGACTGAAGGCCTGAGGAAACAGTTAGGAACACAGTCCAATCAGTGCATGAAGTATATGATATATATTCTCAGGGAGAAAAGGGAGGATATCACAGTCATGAAACAAGGGCACACTATTATGAAATTAGACTAGTGGTTATGGAAAAGAATCAAGTACAGATCTTAGCAATACAAATATATAACTGTAGGAGTAAAGGACTCTGCAGAAGGGCTGAATAACAGGAGAGACACACCTGAAGAGAGAACTATATAAAGAGAGACAGTATGTGTCCCATTCCCCTGGCTCACAGCTTCAGCAGCTGCCATTTTGGAATATGAGCAGACCAGCTCGGGGCTGGAAGATCTCTTCTTATTGGAATGTACACAAACAGGTGGAGTGGAAAGTGGGAGCCTCAATTAAAAGGCTCAGCAAAGAGCCCACACTCCTCCAATGGGGATGGTAGAGCTGTACTTCATTTCTCAGCGAGCAAATTGCGTGGCGAGCCTAGGCCCTGTCTTGGAATCCCAAGCAGCACGCCTGCAAGTCCGGCTCTGATGGTGCAGTATGGAGAGATCAGCTATGCAACAGAAACGCTGTGGAAGGACCCGGAGCAGGAAGGAGTGCTGCGTGCTGCAAGGTCCTGGTTCAGCATTCATTAGAAATTCCAGCTCATTACGGTAACTGGATTTGCTAAGGACATTATTGGACTTTGTCATACAGGAACATCAAAAAAGTTAATAAATATTAATACATGGATTTTTTTTCCCCCTGTTGTGGTTTCTGAGACAGCACAACTAATTGTGTGTGGATGCCTGTTGGTTTTGCTCATGGTGTTTATTATACCAATAACTTCAATATGGTACAATTGCAAGTGACGGTAGTTTATTTAGTTTTATGGCAGCCTATAATCCACATTTCGTGCCAAACATATCTGATGATGAAATAAGATATAAAATGGGAAATCAGGCCAAGATTAGAATGTTTAATTGAAACCAATTGTTACAAGCTCGAAACCCGTAGCTGGATCCTACTTAAGAGCAGCTCACTGCTGGAGCAGTACCCTGTTTCTTATTATACAAGGTTTACAGAATCACTCAAAGCCAAGTCGGAATTACTTGGAGAAAGAGAAGAAAATAATGATTTACTTGCATTTCTCTGACATATTGTGGGAAAGACAGAAGCTAGTTTTACAGTGCAAACAATGACATTTTGGCAGCTCAGTGAGGCTACTCGAAGCACTAGGGTAGCTTCATGTGCCCCAGCAATTCTGGTTACTGAAGAAAATTTCAGAGCATAAACTCTTTTCTACCTGGATGCTCTGCCACCTTTTGAGAATGAAGAAGACAATGAATGACTCAGCTTATAAAAGAAGGAAAAGAATGACAGAGTTAATCCTAGGTAATGCTGGAGACCTGGATGGGCAGAATCTGCAGTGCAAAAAGCAGAAAGGAATTTTCCAGAGGTTGGTCTCCAGCAAGTTCTTCGGCACCCTTTCCAGAAGCATGCTGTGTCTGAGAGAGCAGGCTGTTCCTCACCTATTCCCTTCATGTGCGGAAGATCTCAGAATTAGCTGCTCATCATAATTTGGGAGAAATAAATTAAGGAATGTTCCTATTGTGGAACTCAATGTGGAATTATCTACTTGGTAAATTCTTAATGACCATCCACATTTTTATGGCAATAGCGCATTTGAAAAGAGTGATTGGATATAACAATATTTTCTACCAGCCCAATAAACTGGACCTTATTCTTTGGGGAAAAAACTCTACTGCAGACAATTGCCTAAACCGACCTGTATGCCCTGCAAGTGAGAACAGAGGCCGATTTCCTCACAGCACAAGGAAAGACCTCCCGACAAGTGTCCATGGAAGGCATTGCATGAGCAGAAGATGTGTCCCTTGTCCGTGAAGGTGTGTAAGCTGAAGAACAGGCATTGTGGAGGGGACCCAAGAATCGAATGTAGCATTGAATCTTTTGTTGTGTTATATCCCTGAGATTCTTCTTCCCGTTAGCACGATTTTATTATTTTACATCCAGACCATGCTCCATGCTCCTTGGTTTACCCCCTTTTGGTGGGAGCAAATGCCATGTTCAAGGTTCCCCTTGAGCTCTCCAGATGCAAATTTCCAAGTTCTTCTAGAGTTTGCTTCTGCTTTTACTTCACCAGAAAGTATCATACACACATAGTGCAACAAATTAGCAAACTCATAGCAAACTTCAGGGGGGAAAAATATGAGTCCTCTCCAGCAGTTCCTCCCCGCAAGCCTGCTCCGTGCACACAGCTGCTTTGCCCCGCAGGGGCAGTGTGCCTGCGCAGGCGTTTGTGTGCCAATGTGGGCGTGGGTATTTTTAAGTGCCAGAAAAGTGTGTGGGGGTGGGTGGGGCGGGGGTGGGTGGGTGGGAGAAGCCGGTAAGAACAGGGAAGATGAGTGTAGGTCTATGATGTTTCCTGCAAAATTTAATTTCTTATGAAATAGCCGGTACATGTAAAAGGAGTTCCATACAGCTGACAACTGTTTCTTCTTTTTCTGAGAAATGAGCTTTCCACGAAAATCCAGTTACTGCTTCAATTAAAATAAACACACTTGAAAGCTGATGGAAACTGGAAATTCAGTTGAGTGAGGATGGTGGTATCTAGGAATTTTCCACAGCTTCACCCAGGTAGGGCATACAGAAGTCCCTGCCCCCCAAATGCCAGCAGGGAGGGGGCTCCCTCCTCTGCACCCCAGTGACACTCAAGATTGCATCACCACCAGGAGACTGACCTTATCTTTATTGCCCTCCTTTGCAGGACCTGGCTTATCTCATCAACCACACCGGGAACACTGGGGGGCAGGAACCGCACCTCCCTGAGCCGCTAAGGGCTTACAGAGAGGAGATAAGGCAGGCTTACAGAGGATAACGAGAGTGAAGGCGTGGAAGACTCTGGGAATGGAAGATTAAAATGACGTGTGAAAGAAGTTGCATTCGTTCACCAAAGGTCAGGCCTGTGCTAGGTTTTAAGCACTCACAAGCAATAGCATTACTTTGTGTTTGTCAGGGCAATGGCGGAGCAGAAAGGCAGGCCAACAGCTTTAGTGCTGTTGGCTAAGTGGGGTCCCTGCAAAATAAATGCTGTGCTGATGGGAAGTGGAGGAAGGAGGTGTGCTTTGTGCTCTGGAGGAATCTGGGAGAGCTTCCCAGGGGACAGAGCTCAACGGGACCTTGGAGATGAGACGAGGGAAAGGACATCTGAGATGGAGAAAGTCATGTGCAAAGGCCAGGAGGCTGTGGAGGGAGGACGTGCCCAGTGGAGCCAGAGGCCATGTGTGGGCTCCGTGGGAGACGGAGCTAGAAAGATGGGTCAAGAAGGGCCTCGAGGGACAGCACATAGTTAGGATGTTGTCCTGGAAGCAATGGAAAGCCACCAATATTTTCTCTTTGGAGAGGGCAGTGAGAACTCGCTGCAGGAAGTGGCCTGGGCAGGCAGGTGGAGGCTGGACGGTGGGCGGGAGCAGGGTGCCGGGATGTGGGCCAGAGAGACGAATGTCAGACCAGGACGGACAGAGAGGCGAGAGATGTGGACGTCAGATCAGCCCGTCTGGGCAACGGATGGATCATGGCCAGAAAAGGAGAGGAAGGAAGAGTTAGAGTAGTTTCTGTGTTTCTGAATCCAGGTGACTGGGTAGGTGGTAGCGCCATTCACTGAAACCGGGGACATGCAGGAGTGGGCAGGGAAGACGCTGAGTTCAGGTTTGGCATAAAGAGCCCCGGATGGAGGCATCAGCAGAGAGGACCAGGAGGGTCATTCATAGAAGAAGCAAGGTCAGACTTGGAGGTCAGAGAAGGGCAGGGTGGGCCTGGTGGCTCACACGTGTTGAAACCCTCCCACCTTCCTCCTACCTTCTCCCCTTTCATTCCGGGAAGACCAGTGGCTCCGTTACGTCCAGGCTGTCCTTCGGGGCCCTGGGGAACATCAACAACAATCAGCCCACAGCACCCTTGATAAGAATGAAATATTGTACAAACGCTTCCTGGAAAAGGAGGCCAGGACGGGGGGACCCCACAGGTGAGGTCCTGGGCCAGGCCCGCGGCGGAGTGCCAGTCCTGGGCCCGCAGAGGCATCGCCCCTGCGGACGAGGGGCGCGTGTTCTCTCCTGGAGGGGGATCCAGGCCAGGGTTGCAAGACACGGTCTCGGAGGGGCCCCCACCCCAGGCCCAGCACTGACGCCCTATGATTCTAAGATTCCACGTGAGTCTGCATTTCTTCTTCTGACTAAGATAAAGTGGCAAAACAAGGTGTAGGCTGATGTTTTTCTTCTGCTGCTTCTCAGAAGAGTCTTAGCAATCACCTGGCTGAGGATTTTTGTTTATAAACACAGCTAGCTGCTTGTTCCCCATTGGGGGCTTAGGCCAGTGCCGGGGACTGCAATCTATATGCCCCTTCCGGCTTAAAGGAAGACCTGTGCCCACAGAGAGGGGACAGTGCCTTACCGGGAGCCCAGGGTCACCAGCAGCTCCATCTTCTCCAGGAGACCCAGGGGGTCCCACGAAAACATCAGTTCCTGGTTTTCCTGGAATCCCTGGTAAGCCAGGTGGGCCAGTGGGGCCTGGGAGGCCTGGGGGACCCTAAAAATAGATAGTCTGTTAATAAACAACAGGGGAGGTGACAAATACACTGAGCATATAGGTTCTATCCATTCTCCATTGCTTACAACAACCCTCCAAGCAGAGAATGGTGTTCCCACTTAGCAGAAGAGCTGGCATTTGAATTCAGGTCTTTCTGAGCACATTAGGTCATGTTTTATCCCTAAGTGTATATGTACAATAAAACCTCAATTCATTGGAATTCTCAGAGATGCTCTGGTTAATTCAGTTTTCTGATTATTTGAGAGATCAGTCAAAAACTGCCTATTGTGCCAACTCTTCTTATTAAAAAACTTCCTGCAACGTGCTAGTCTCTTTAGCCTCTGACTGAGTTGGCCAATCCCATCCACCTGGAAGACCCACGCAAGGAATCCTAAACCCTTCCAATCCTGCCAGGACCAGCAGGCGCTGGGGCAGCTGAGTGGAGCCATCTATGTGGGCATTCAGCACAGGTGCTCGGAGGAAGGAACAGAGGTGCGGCTGGGGGCCAGGGGCAGTGGAGCCAGCTGCAGCTGGAGAAAGGGGGTACTCCCCAGGGGGCAGCTTAGACCAGTGGGGGCCCAAGAAGCAAGAAACACCAGGGGGAGAAGTGGTAGGGACAGGCAGGGAGGGGGTCGCCTCAGGGCAGGATGGATTTCAAGAAGAATCTGGAAGCCAAAGCGAAATGCTGCCTAGACAAGAGGCCAGGCGGTCTCTGTAATGGGTAAGGGAGGGGCGGGGCAGAAGCATGGACACAGGTGCTGGAGATGTCTGCCTGGAAAGGAGGTGGCGTGGCATGGAGGTCCTGAATATAAAATTAGGCTCACCCTCATTTAAAACAAAATAAAAGCAATTGACATGGAAAAAGATATACAAAGAGGGAAAAGTATAGTGAACTCCCAGGAGCGCGCCATCAGCCTCAACAACGACTGATGCGGGCCGGCCTGGTTTCATCAGGTGTCACTGTGAAGGCCAGCCAGACCCCAGGCATGTCCTCCTTCACACTTACCCTTAACAGCTCCTCACCGCACCCCAGGTCACCGGAGCCAGAGTCGATGTCCGAGCCCCAGCCCAGGCCAGAGCCCTCTGCCTCCACTCCCACCTGCAGAGAAAGGAAAGTCTCACACCTTGGTTTCAATGGCAGCTTGCCAAGGACAGCATGTCACTGAAAGTTTTCCCACATTCTGCAGCTCTATTAGCCTCTGCTGCCACCTCTCCTGCTGGCCCTTCCAGCGCCTTTTTTCCCCCCTCTAGAGCTACCCTCCTCCCTCCCCACCTCCAGCTATGCAGCCAACAGGCGTTCCACCCTCAAACATGCTACATGCTTTTACATCTTCTCCTCAGCCTCCTTGCCTGCTTTCCAAATCCCTACGTATCCTTCAAGGCCCAGTTCTGAGGTCACCTCCTCCATGAAGCCTTCCCCCATTTTTCCGACAGAATTTATCTCTTTCTTTTGTATTTCCACTGGCCTCCGTGGAGGTCTTGATTTGGTGTAAGGACCAGTGACTTGAAGCTCAGTTGTTTGCGGTCCATCGGCCACTCTGGACTAGGACTCCTCTAGGGTCAGCCCAACCCCGATATGCCTCTGGGTGCCCAGTGTCCAGCACAAGATCTGGCACCAAGAAGACAGCGCATACTTGTTGATTGCCATCCATTCCTCCAAAGAACAGAAGGAAATTCCCAAAACACCCTTCGTAGCTACCGAGTACCCAGCTGCCGCTATGTCACCTGCACCCAGCAGATAATAGGCTCTTGGTAGTTATTTGTCAAATGACCTTAGAAATGGAATGACCCCATTGGGACCATGGTGGGATTTGCTGTTCAACTTCTGGATCCTGTCTGAAAATGGGCGGTTATGGAGAATGCAAAAAAAAAAACGTGGAAAGGCCAGGCACTAAGACTTACCCCTACTCAACTCCTGGGAGCTGTGTGATCTTGAGCAAACCCTTAACCCTCTCTGGGCCTCTTCTGCAAAATAACTCTAGATACCTAATTTATTGAGCATGTACTATATGCAAGGTAAAGTTTTCCATGTATTAAGTCATTTAATCCTCAGAACAACTCAAGACATAGGTACTATGATGCCCATTTTATTCATGAGCAAAAAGAGAGAGAGAGAAATATGAAAACATAGCACAATGGGTTGTACGCCTCCCCTCACCCACTGTCCAGAGTGACTCTGAGACTTAAAAAGATCCTAAAGACTCTCCAGAGTAGATGCTCTCTTGACAGTCCCTATTGTGCTTTGAGAGACCCTTTGCTCAGGAATCAGGGCATTCATTTCCATTCATCGCAGATTTCTGATAGTCACTGGTGATCTATCTGCATTAGTAATGTGCCAGGAGGAAGTATTGTGTATTCCTGTTTCCTCTTCTCCCTTCTCACTCACCCCCACCACCACCCCTTCCTCACACCTCTCTTCTTAGAGCTTTTAAAAATCCTATTGTAAAAGTCACAAGGGGATGGTGGAAACACCACAATGTGTTAGGAACCTAGCAACCTTCACAGTTCTGCCAATTTGAGGCAACAACTGCTAAGATTTAGGGAGGGTATTTCCTTCCAGGGTTTTCGCACAAGTCTATTTTTACATAGCTAAGACCACACAATATGTTCAAGTTTATAACTATCTTTTTTCATTTAACATTGTATGGTATCCCCTACCCCCATCATTAAATACTCTGAATAAGTATAATTTTTAATAGCTGCATATGTTCCATTATTTGAATATGCTTTAATTCAATTAACCTCCATTGGCTAGTTAAACCATGTCCAATTTTTTTTTTTTTTTACTACGATGGGTAACACAGATTAAAATTCTTGTACACAAAGCCTTTTTACACATTGGACTCTCCTTTACGATGGGTTCTTAGAACAGAAGTTTCTGGGTCAACAATATGCAATTTTATGGTGGTTAATATGTGTTGACATAGAACTTCCCAGAATATATCCATTAACACTTCCACCAGCCTAGCGGCCTCACCAAGCACCAACTTCTCAAAGCAGAAAACACAAAGGACAACTGACCCAGTTTCTTCCACACATCAATGGCTGAAAGAAGAAGGTAGGAGACAACCATAGAGTAAAAGAGACTTAAGAGACACATTAACCAAAAGAAATGTGTAGACCTTGTTTGGACCCAGATTCAAGCACATGTTAGCGAAGCCTTGGCCGAGTAGCTGAGTTGGTTAGTGTTGTCCGGGAATGTCGAAGCTGCCTGCCTGATCCCCGGTCAGGTCACAGGCAACAATCAGAAATCAGTGGGAAAACAAACCAATGTCTCTCTCTCCCTTCCTCTCTCTCTAAAAAAATCAATCAGTAAATAAAAGAGAACAAATACTAGTAAAAAGATTTTTTAAACTATGGTATTAGATAATGGGAAAGAACCGTTGTTTGTTTTGTTAGGTGGATACTGGCATTGCAGGTAAGCAGGGAAAAGGCTCCAGGTCAACTGATTAGCAATGCACATTAAAGTATTTACAAGTTAAATTGCATGATGTTTGGGATCCGTTTTAAAATACTCCAGCCTCTGCTCTGCTCCAAGAAGATGGCGGTAGGAGGTGGAACATAGGAAGTGCGGTTGGCATGACTTGACCTCCCAGCCACCCACTTTTACAGACAGGAAATGAGGCCCAAAGAAAAGTAAGCTTATGCATGAGGCTGCACAGGTGCAACCCAGGACCACAGAAACTCGTGTGGGAAGGGATGTGCTCACCTCCTCACGCGCACACCTTTGATGCTTCCGACCCTCTGCAGTCCCTGCCCCGCCCTTCAGGCCTCCCACCCCCTGCTGGAAATCTCCTGACCCTGGAGTCGGGTCTTTGCATCTCTGGTCAGCTCTACCTGTCAGAAAACTCTCATTTCAATTTAGAGGCCACGTGGGACACAGAGCCAGGTGCCCTAGATTTTCCCTCTTGCTTTTTCCTCCACAACCTTCAGCTTCCTTGTGTGTTCCCAGGCTGGAGGCCCCTCCAGTGCCCAAACTGGGCAGTTGGCAAACCAAAAGGAAGACCCACCTCCGAGAAAGCCAGGGACAGGCTTCCCCCGCCCACGCGACTTCAGCCTTCCTTGCTCTCCTCTGTGAAACTGGCCAAGTCAAAACTTCAGCCTCTGCAGTACTTACAGAAGTGGCCGGACTCACTGCTGTGTCAGGGGTCACAGTTGCTTCAGGGGTGGTCGCTGTGGGTACGGGGAGCGGGGGCCCCTCGGGGGGGGTGCTGCCCGACTCCTCTGCCTCGGCCGTGGTACAGGGCTCCTCCGTTGTGGCTGCTCCTAAGTCTTCATCCTCACTAGGACCCTGAAGGCAACACCAACACGAGGAATCACATCACCTCCCCCACGACGTGGTGTGCACACAGCTGCCTGCCAGGGCGCTTGGTGACTGTCATTTCTATGGCACTAGCCCAATTTCAAAACATGTTCTTACCTACCGCTGTCATTACCCCCAACACATTCACAGAAACACAGACTCATCATTCCCTTCTGCAGTACGTATCTCCTCTAAGTCCTTGTGCCCAGCGATGGGGCATTCACTGACCCCCTCCTCCCAGCAACCCCTTCCCACTGTGGCCATTCTCTCTGACAAAGTGCTCCCTGGAGAAAGTTAGGAGGTACAGGGTCAGGACAAATATCCACTCCCCTGACCCCCTCTGTTATTCTCCCTCCATTGCACCCTGCCTCCCCGCAGCTCCGCCCCCCCACCGCCCTGCCCCACCCCCCATAGGTGCGCTCACAAGCTGAAAGTGCATTTGCCTCTGGGAAGCTGGCGACTGCTCCTGCCTCACGATGCTGCCACCTCTGGCCCCCGGTGAGCCACAGAGAATGCTAGGACACACTTACAAAAGTGACCGCTTGCTCAGGGGCTGCTGTGGTTACGACGGGAGGTGGGCCACTGGTGGGAACCCTGCTGGCCTCCTCATCTTCATCCTCCAAAGTGCTGAGGGACATCTCTGCCGCAGCCGCTGCTGTTGTCAAACTCCCTTCACTGACTGGACCCTGAAAGAAAACTGGCGTGAGGGACCATGCCACTTGGTCCGTGCCCCCAAGTTTGTTTGGTGGGTGTGTGACTACAGGGAGGAATCTGCTGCGGCCATCAGGGAGCTGGCGTGTCCACAGCACCCCTTCCTTTGCCATCTAAGACCTCTCAGGGCGTCCCCCCACCCCCAGGGTCCCCTCCAGCACACCTAGGCCTGCACATCTTCACTAACTGGACGCTCACCACCTCCGCAGGCGGCCTTTCTGTTCCCAGACAGCCCTGCTAGTTAAATTCTAATTTCTACTGAGTCAAAACTGGTGCCTAGTTTTCTTGCCCTGTGACAAGGGCTTTGCCTTTAAGGAAGAAGTCGGGGGAGGAGCGAAATGAAGACGAGGGATGAGGGATGAAGGAGAGGGAGGAAAAGAACGTGGTGGTGACCCTTTGGTTCCTTAAAATAGTCCATGTAACTGCCCAGTGCCTGGAGAGCTGCCAGCTGGTGAGCACATCCCCTCCCCACGGTAAAGCTTCACTGGGCTGATGTTAGGCCAGAGGTGAAAGGCTGGGAGCAAATGTGTGGAATGAGCTCAAAGGCCAGCGCCGGTGGTATGTGAGGGCCTGACAACTCCCTCCAGCCATTCGCTCAGCAACTACGCACCAAGCATCCGCAGGGAGGCATTTACAGGGATGAAGATAGATGGGTGAACAAGATGTATATAATCCCTGCCTTGCAGGGAATACAGTCTGGGAATGAACTGTTTACCAATTTTATTGTTAATTATAGTCATGTGAGACCTTCCAGAGAGAAGTGCGGGTACAGTGAACATGTCTGTGGGGAGACCTCACAATCCGGGCCGGTGTCTCCTAGACAAAGTGGTGTTTGAGCTGAACTCTGAAGGCTAAACAGGAGCTAAGGAGGGAAGGAGGAGGAAAAGATTCTGGGCAGAGGGGAAGTGGTCTGGGAAGATTCTGAGGCAAAAAGAGGCACGTTTAAAAACTTCAAGGTCAGTGTGGTTGGCCAGGCCAGACCCTGCAAGGGTTCCTTTGTACACCAGGTCGGGTATCGGCGTCTGCGGGACGGCGGCCCCCACCAGGAGGAGTCAGGGGAGAAGATGGGCTGGGCCAGGCACAAGCCTCAGCCGGCACCTGGGCTGGGGACGGTGGCTCCGTCCAGGGCTCGGTGCTGGCTCTGAAGAAGGGCAGAAGGGGGAGGTCCACCCTAAGTTTAGGGAGAAAACGCAACAAGACTGGGTGCTTGATGGGTTTGGGAAGGAAGGCGGAGGGAAGAGAACCCTGGATTAGGACTGGGGATGACGGTCCCATTCACTTGAAGTGGGAGCTAAGGAGCCACAGAAACGAAGAGTCCAGGTTTAAGTCTGCTGAGCTTGAGGAACTTGCAGGACACCCATTACAGTGACATGACAGGGACAGGCTTGCCAGGTGTCCCAAAACACTTGTGTCCTGCCTTCCAGAGCTGGGAACAGTGTTCTCACGACGCTTAAGGAGAGGCTGAGAAGTCCTGGCTCTGCCCTGGGACCCTGCTGGGGCTGCACCCGGGCCCTCCGCGGCGCCCGACACCCTGTGCGCGCCGCCAGAAACAGGCCACGGCTGAGGGCTCCGTCACCCCTTCTACTCGCAGCCCAGCACGCCTCCTCCCCGGGTCCCACCCCTGCTGGTGGAGGCGCCGGCCCCTGCGCCAGCCCTGGGACTCACCCTGCCTTCCTGACTCACCCACCCTTCCAGCGGGCTCCCCGGGGCCTGCAGGGGCTTCACCACACACTCCTCGGGGGGATGGCTCTGGTCAGGAAGGTGCCCCCACCCACTCAGGCTCCTCTGGATTTATTGGCCAGAACACAGACCGGCGCATTGACAAGGCAGGGTCTGCTCCCAGCCGTGACTTCAACCTTACCAGAGAGACCCCTTCCCCAGGCCCCTGGGTGGACAGGAAGAGGGCTGGTCCCCCGGTGGGCACACTGTCGGCCTCGGCTTCCCCATCAGCGCTAGTGGGCATCTCGGCCTCCTCTATTGCTATTGCTGCTGAACCTTCTTCAGTATCTGGACCCTGCATAGGAAGACATCGCGTGGGGCCCAGGTCGGTGATCGACAGCGCCGCGGCTGGAGGAAGCAGACAGGTGGGGCCCCTCCTATGCCTGCGTCCTATTGCTCCCTTACCTTCAAAGCTTTTGCACATCCAAGACCTCACCTTATACCACTGCCCTGATTGGGCCACCCACACAGAGACCTTGACCTTCCATACTACCCAATATGGTGCCTGTGTGTTCATCTTATTCCTTCCTGCCAACCTCAGTGGCTGGCACTTGTCACAGTCCCTGCCATCCACCTTCTACCACCCCTGAGCATGAAGCTTCTGCTGGGTACCCACATCGAGGCACTGGGACAACACCCGTGTCCCAGGATGCACAGCTTTCTAGTGGGAGGAGTTAGTGCGCCTCACTCTCCTAGCTCAGTGCCCTCTGCCTTCCCTCCCTCGCTGCCCGCCCCAAGGTCACCAATGGTCACTGTGACAGATCCAACTCATGCCCAGCTCTTCAAGCCTTTACTCACTGGGAATCCTGGCAGGATCCACCGGTGTTAATCAAACTCAGAGCGAGCCAACACCACCCTCGCCTGGAACAAGACAACCTCCGAACCATACCCTACTCCAGGCTGGCTTCCCCTATCCTTTCTCCACTTTGGGTCAGGTGACCTTCCTAAACCTACTCTGACTACATCACTTCCTTCTTTAATACTGTCGGCAACTCCTTATTTCTGCTGAACACTCCCAAGTTCTTTCTCATGGCTTCCTCGGACTCAGAGGCCCCTTCAGCCACGCTTCCCCACCTTCGCTCACTCCCTCCTGCCTCCACCGCTGGCTGGGCCGGATTGTTAGGTCTTGCAGTGCTCTGTTGATGCCCCCGGGCCCTCGCTCCTGCTGGTCCACCTGCTGGAACACCTGCCTCACCTCCATCCGCTAGGCCGCCCCTAAGCCTCCCCTGGTCTCACCTTCAGCACCTGTTCCTCAGGAAGGCCCCTGAGTCTGGGTTCTGGTCCCATTTTGGGTGCTGCCAGGGCCCCGTGTGCTTCTCCTATTGCACCTCTCGCCCTCTGTCCCCAGGAGGCGGTTGACCTTATTTACCCCATGCTTTGCACAGTGCAGCACCCCACCAGCATCTGCTGAACGAGTCAAAAAATAACTCAGTCTCCAAATCACTGTGTACTCGAACTTGGCCCCACCAGGCTGCAGCTCTGCGTTTTGCAGATATATGGGGAAGGCCAGCGACTGCTCCCACCAGAGATGCCCACCATCTCCCAGGAGGAGGTGATGTGGAGCAGGCACTCCAAGCTACTTACTGAAGAGACCCCTTCCCTGGGGTCCTGGGTGGACACGGAGAGGGCCAGCCCCCCGGTGGGCAAGGTGCTGGCCTCTTCTTCCCCCACAGAGCCGACGGTCACCTCGGCTCCTCCGGCTGCTGCTGTTGATGCCAAACCTTCTTCAGTATGTGGACCCTGAAACAAAGTCATCACGAGGGACCGCGTCACTGCGCCCACAGCCTTGATCAATGTGCCTGTGGCTGGAGAAAACAGACTGTCCACAGCCCTCTGTCAACTTGCATTTCTGTAGCTTCTTTCCCTCAAAGCACTTTCGTGTCTGGACTTCACCCCAGCCTCACGAGAGTCCCAGAATCACAGCATCCCAGGGACAGGAGAGACTGCAGGGCACCTGTCTGCACGTGCCAGGGACTGGGAGGTCACTGCCTCCGGAGTCAGCCTGCTCCAGCTCTGACACGTCTCTCTAGGCACATCTGCCTCTCTCACTGCCCGCCCAGAAGCCGTAAGAACAGGCTGAACATCTTAGCCCATGACAGCGTTTCAAGGCATGCAGACAACAACCCTGTCCTCCTCAGCCTTCTCAGGCTGGGCACCTGCTTCCTCTCTTTCCCTGTGACTTAGTTTCCTTCAGGATGCACAGCCTTCTCCGCAAGTCATACAGCAGATGCAGAAAATAGAAAAAGGGCAGCTTTGGCTGCTGGTGCCAGCAAACTGACTACGTTTATCTCAGTTTCCCAAGGTGGTTGTTACTTTTAATTCTGGGGTTGTTTTGGTTTGCAAAGGTAGTTCTCTTGGATACTAAAAGCTGATCAAAGTGAGACAGATCTCCTTGCTGCAGGACTTCTCAGAGCCTATAAGGACAATGCAAAGCAGAGTATTTCCTAAACTTACTTGACAACAGCATCTTTTTTTTCTCCCAAAGAACATATTAAGTCCTTGCAGAATACTGTCTTTAAAAAAAAACACAACAAACCACACACAGAGAAGATGATGTCACAGATTTTAAAATGAGACTCTAATGCTACTTTAGCTAAAGTCCCAAAGGGCTTTATAATAAAGTATAATTTACTAATTAATTGTACAAGTTAAGTACAATTCCCCGATTATCAGGTACCTTCTACATGCTAAATGAAGGAACCAAGCCACTTATGATGGACACACTGAGAGACAATGAAGTGAAATCAGTTCCACCAGCATTAGCCCATCGCCTGCCTCTGGGCTATATAAGAAAAAGAAAATAATTCATTTTGAAAGAGTAAGAATTCCTTTGGAGGGAATTTTAAGTGCACCATGGCTTCCCCCCTCCTTCCTTCTCACTACAAACCATTTGGTGAGCTGGGTATATATTCCGTGGAATTTGGGGGACAAACGGACTGAATTTTTTGTATTATGTGGGAATGGACTTTGAAAATACCTGTAAAAATAGGCTGTTATCAGATAGTGACTAGGGAAGTATGAGCGTGTCTGAGTTTTCATCACAGGATAGTGGGAAGAAGGAGCTGACCCCGTGCAGTTTTAGCAGAGGCCACTGCGAGAAAAATACATTTGTTTTACTTTGGTACCCAATTGTGCCCAGCATTTTAAAAATTGGTTTCGCAACCTTGGCTGGTGTGTCTCAGTGGGTTGGAGCATTGTCCCACAGACCAAAGGGTCACAGGTTCGATTCCCAGTCAGCGTATGTACAGGAAGGCAACCAATTGCGCACTCGCTCGCTCTCATTCTCTCTCCCTCCCCTCTCTTCTCTCTCTCAAAGCAATGAAAAAATGCCCTCAGGTGATGATAAAAACAATTGGTTTTGTGGGTATAAAAGTCAATTACCCAACCACAGAGTGGACACACATGCAGTTAATCTGATGCTGTCTTGATGGGGCTCAGAGGACGGAAGGGGCTGTGCATCTTCACCATTGGACGACTGGGCAGGAGGGCAGCGGGTACCATGGTGAGGACCCAGCATCCACCCCCCAGCAGCTGTGAGGCCCAGCTGCATCTCCTTCCCTGTCCTGGAGCCTCCCTGGAGAGCCTCTGGGGCCCTGGGACTCCTATCTCCTCTGCCCCAGCAGGAGGGAGGCAGTCTCCACCACATTCACCTAAAAACCTCTTGTTTCTCCACAGTGCTCACTACAGGGCTCCAGCAGGTCGGAGATAAGCAAACAAATTTACCACTGACTTAGCAAGGAGAAGTTACCGTTCACTCACCTCTTCAGTGACGTGAAGGAAGGCCCCACCCCCGGAGCCGGGGTCTGTAACGGAGGCACTGTTCACGGTATCCGCCCCCTCCAGCGTGCCATTCAGGGGCTCCCCGGACCCTAGGAAGCGGCATTCTGAGGTTAGTAACTGCGCTGCACGGTCTGCAGAAAGGAGAGGTGCCTCTCCACCAACTGACTTGAAGAGATGCCCAGAATACAGGATTAAGAGGAAATTAAAACAAAACAAAACAAAACAAAAAAAACAAAACACCCCAAGGCAGTATTACACGGGCCCAAGGCCTGATACCGGCCCACTCTTTTTCTGCCCCTTTTCACAGGGCGGACCCATTTCAAACCAAAGCCACGGCCAACGCCAGAGCACCGAGATTTAGGTGCAAGGTCAAAACACAGCCCGAAGGCCCACCATAGGGGCTGGCTGAGCAAACCGAGGGCAGCATGACATGTGGTTTCAGTCACAGTTTCTGTCACCAGCTGCAGGACTGGAACCTCACTCTGGCACTTGGTGCAACCTGCAGCAACTCATTTAACCTGTGTCTCAGGTTCCTCTTCTGTACACTGGGAATAATTCCTGTCTCGTAGGGTTGTTTTGAAGCTTAGGTGCCACAAGGATTAAATAAATGAATACAAGAAAAGACGCAAGGACAGCCCCTGGCGTACAGTTAGTAATCAATAAATGTTCATTGTCAGTGTGGTTCTGTATTGGTAAAGGGAGAAAGGCTATAGATGAGTATACATGCTTTATCAACATTATATAATTAATGTAGTTGTTATATAACATGCATAACATATAGATAGATATATGGAAATATGCGTGTATACAGATAAACAACACACATTGGCTAAACCACAATATTTAACATCGATTTCCTCGAGAGGATAGGAGAGGAAGCTACTCTTATTTTGGTTTATACAATTCTGCATTGATTAAACTGTTACCGCAAGTACATATTTCTTTTGCAATTTAAAAAACACATGGAGTCCTAAAGCAAGGAAAAAGAACTTACACTACCATGAATGCATGTCTGTTACAGGCTGGGCTCCAAGCTAAGCCTCACCTCTTCCCTCCCTCAATCTTCCTGCTGGCCCACCTGACCGACCTGCAAGGACCTCCCCACCGCCTCGCAGCCACTGACCAGAGCCAGGACAGAACCCCATGTTTTCAGTCTCCCCATTATCACTGCCCGGCATGCGCGTCCTGATCTGATCTGCACATCAGCGCCTTATTATTTATTTATTAACCCCATTCCTCAGAGGGGAAACAGGTCCCACAGAGAGCAAGTGACTGGAAGAAGCCCTTGAAGCCAGGCCGACCTACCTCATGCCCAGGCATTTCCACATATGCAGTTTTCATGTGTGTCTCATGATATGAACAATGTGTGTGGTTAGGGGGGGTGCTGCATCATTCAAGGGACCCTTTGCCATGCACGCATCTCCTTACTCTCTTGCATCCTCTCTGCTCCCACCACCAGGGGGTGCTGTGCAAGCAGCTGGCCAGACCCCAGGAGTCTGACTCCCCACCTCTTGGAGGATGGAGTTGGGGATAGCATGTGCCCTGGGGCAAGATGGTGTCTGGGAAACAGGAATAAGACTGTCAGGCGGCTTTTCCTAGCCAGGGATGGGGCTCTCAGGGTTCAGAACCATTTCCCTCACCATCTAGATTTTCTCCCCAACAAGAATGTTCAGGAACATTTCAGCCAGCTCCATTGTTTTCATTTGGCCTTTTGTTAGCCAGAGGAGTCTGGCTGATCCCAGGGAACAAGCAAGTTGTGCTTGGATCTGGGTCCCAGCCTGCGTTTGGCTCCCACCTCCTCTGAACTCATCCCTCAGTCTAGGAGAGGCCCTCACCCCGGGCCCTGCAGGCTCTGCCCCTCCTTGCCCGTCCTCAGAAATCCCAGTTCCACCCAGGAGAACAGCGTTGCAATTCATAAACCACTTCCACATCCTCCCATCCACGGGGGAAACTGTGAGCACTCCCAGTGGATGGTGAAAGAATCTAAAGCTTGGAAAAGTTAAGGAACTTGCCCAAGGCCTGACAGCAAATAGGTGGCTCAGCAGGGCTTCCGTCCAAACTGTCTGCTCCCAGCCGGCCCCGCAGTCTTTCCACAGCAACACCCTGACTCCTTGGCTGTGTTATGACTTTATTAAATTATCATACCATTTTTTTTTCTATTCAGTACTACATACTTTCTCTCACCCACAGACTTCCCAAGTTTAGTGATTAAAATAACATTCATTTACTGATGGCAGAAGTAAAAAGAATATATAAGACTGTAAAAGGCATGTAAGCTACAGAACCACAGAAAAAGAAAATTAAAACCACCCACAATCCCACCACCCAGAAAATATTCCTCACAGTGTTTTGTTGTATATTATTCTAGCACACACATGCACACTCACACACACATAGTTCTACATGGCTAGGTACAAATATAAATAATATATATTCAGCATTAGGGTCATAGCACACATAGAGTTTCGAAAGGTGCTTTTTCCCTGGAGTACCCCATGAGCATGTCCCCGGCTCCTTGAATCTTCTGCATCACCGGTTTCAGGGCTGCACACATGAATGAAATACAGTTTGCTCAGCCAGTCCCTGCAGTGGGCATCTGGGTTGTTTTTTGACCTCGTGCCTAAATCTTGGTGCTCTGGCGTTGGCTGTAACTTCGGTCTGAAATGGTCACCCCTCTGATAAAGGGCAGAAAATGCAGGCCGACGTCAGGCCTTGGGCACATATCAAGCTGCTGTCTGGGGGATCACGCCCGATCTTGGGTTTTTGTCAGTGCTCCTCTCTACAGCTGGGCAGGGACGAGAGCGCTGGGTGGGGACCTAAGAGGCCAGGCCGGACCCAGGGCCTGCCACTGACCCCTGGGGGCCATGCCCTCCCCGGCCATCCGGTCGTTTCCCCAGGCCACAGAAGCTTAGATGGCCTGATCCTCTGAGAATCCGGGAGTTTGTGGCCAAGGCTGGGAAGGGTGGGGATTGTGGAGTCAGGCCAGCGCACTGGCTCTGCCCCCCGACTCACTAGCTGTATGACTGTGGGCATGTCACTTCACTTACCTTTCTAGGCACTGGCATTTCCATCTCTGAAATACTGGCTAACATTGAATAATAGCAACGAGGAGATGTACAGCTGGGCTTGGAGATGAGATGTGTAAACGCTTGGCACAAAGGAGGTATTTAATAAACAGCAACGATCATTACGAACTTTTCTGTTAAACCCCAGGGGCTTCGGGAGGGGCGGAGTCTGGGGATGGAAAGGCCAGCTATCCAAGGTTAAAAACCAGCTCTGCCATGTATAAGCCACGGCAGCTCGGCTGGGTGACTCGATTCCCCCACCTTGTTGGTGAGACGCAGAAGGTTAAGTGAGATGCTCTCTATTCCCTATGTCACCCGGGCTGGGCACACGTCATCGCTCAATTAAAAAACACTGCTGCGTGTGAAGGTGCACCCAGGACTTGCCTGGCTCAGGGCTGCTGTGCAGGGCGATGCTCAGGTTGGTGGTTTCCGGGGTCCCCTCAGCTGCAGGCTCGCCAGAAAGCTCCACATCCTCAGGGAGAGGCGATGGAGTTGGAGGGGTGTTTATGGGTTCAACTTTTGCTTCTTTAGGCTGAAGGGAGAAAAAAAAAAAAATGAGACCCAGAAGGATTTACTGGGCAGGAAAGCAGAAAAAAAATGGCAGCGAACATCACTGAAGAAATTAATATAGCCACAAAGTGCTGAATAAACCCAGAAGAAAGCTTAGACCTGTCTTTTGTGTACCTGGGCAATCACTGAACCAGCCATGGCCTGAAAAAGGTGCATGTTCAGTTTACAGCGAGTCGCTGCTGAACTTGCCTGAGCTCTCTGAGCACAGAGACCACATGTCTGTCTCCAGCCAGCAGAGAGGTGCTTAATAAAGATCTGTTAGAAGAGGAAATCAATGGACAAATGAAAGAACAAATGAATGAAGCAGGCTGCCCTCAGGAAACGCTGTATAAATCCAATCCCAGATCAGCACTGGTCACAAATTCCCCTGAAAATAAAAGATGGGTATGATTTGCTTTCTAGGACATTCAGCTTCTGTGTAGCTTCTCCAAAGCCAGTCAATATCTCAGCTAACTTCACCAACTAGGAAAAAAACAAAACAAAACCCCCCAGCAGCTGGAAACAGCAGTTCGGCGATCTAGGTGGAAATCCTAACGGGGGCGGGGCAGGTGGGCCACAGACACCTTGACCCCACCCCCAGACCCAGGCGCAGGCACAGCTGCGGAGACCCAGGGCGGCCAGTGTTCAAACAGTCACGTCCCTTCCTGAGTTCAAGGGGCTTGAGAAGGGGGTGAATGGAAGGATCCTGCTGACCAGCGTTGGACCTATGATGTGAACAAGAAACAACTAAGACATGAAGATTTCAAGGTTAATTTGTGATTGCAGCTATCACTTACCTATCTTGACTAAGAACAGAAAATTATATCCTCAATGTCAGAATCCAGGCTATAAACAATGCATCTCTGGTCCATCAGAACAAGGAAGGTTCTCATGGGCCCCATAACTTGTTCTTACAATCAATCTTGGGTCAAATCTCAGCTCTCCATTTATTAGCTTTGTTATGCTGGGCAAGGCAAGTAACCTCACTGAGCCTCTGCTTGCTCCTCTGTTAAGTGGGAACAATGACAGCTGCTTACAGGATATAAGACGCTTGGAGGCGCTCGGCACAGGGCCATGGTACAAGCCCACCAATGGTAGCCATTCATCCCCATCACTAGACTTCTAAAGTCGGAGAAAGAACAACACCTCTGTAGTGATTTTGTCCGGCATTAAAGGTGATCGTTTCATCTTTTGGCTTACCTGCAGTTGATAAGCAGTTTTTTTAAATAATGAAAATGGAATATTTGTGTACTAAAAAAAGGGCACCGTTTCTTATACTGTACAATCTCCAGGTGGAGGTGGGGATGGAGAGCTTCTAGGAGGGGGGCCTTGAAGAATGAACAGAGTCTCAGAAAACAAGGATGAGAGAGGCATGGAGGCGAGAAAGGACACAGCATTGTCAGGATCTGACAACACGCACTTGGCGAGGGTCAAGGACAGAAGCAGAGGGAGGAGCCAGGCGGTGGTGGGGCTGGTTCTTTGGTGAGAAGTCTGGCTTTGGATCTGGGGCATCTGGGGGGTGTCAGGCTGGGGAGTGGAGTGGGCAGGTGTGCACTTTGGGGAGTTCACGCTAGTGCCAGTGGGTCTGGGGAGCTGAGGTGAGGCCAGGAGGCCAGGAGGCTGCACTGAAGAGGCCCCGTGAGGCAGGAACCAGGGTGGTTTGTGGAAGCAGAGAGCAAGGACCACCCCAGCAGTGGCTGTGAAGACCCTCAGGACTTCCCCGTTTCTCCCAGCTGCATGGGGACCTAGCAGAGGAGCAAGAAGGACCCTGTCACGGGCAGCTCCTCTCCTCTTCCTGCCAGGCTCCGGCAGGGCAGTCGCTTTACCAGGGCTCCCTGATGGTCTCAAGAAATCCTGTCTCCAGCCTGGAGCAAGGCTGCTGGTGGCTGGAAGTAAAGCTGCCTTATAAGGGACTTGGGCTTCGAGACAAGGCAGGTAGGGCAGGTGAGGGTACAGGAAACGCAGGACAGCAAGGCGTGGGTGGGCTGAGCTCTGTAACTCAAGGTGGCAAAGGCTGAGTTATAGGAAATCACAGACTCCAGTCCATCAACAAAAACCTCTTTTGGAAAATTCCTAACAAGGCAGCCACAAATCCACAGTCAAGGGCAGAGTGTGAATCTGGTGAGCTGACCCTCCGCCGCCAGGGTCAGGGTCAAGTGTCCGGCCCCCAACAGGCAGCTAGAATGGTCTTCAGGAGTTAGTGTGGATGGAGAACCAGTGTGGCTTGTGACAGAATAGAAATGTTGAGTCTTAAGACTTTTTAAATTAAAAGTGTGGTGATTTGCTGAGCCCACATTCATATTCAACACGTATTTCCTGAGGCCCTACTGTGTGCCAGGTCCTTTGCCAATCCCTAGGGATATGGAAATGAATAAATAAGACAAGGTGACTGTCCCCAAACTGTCAAACTATGGGGAGACACAGACCCAGACCCAGACACAACTGTGACTGAATGTGAGTGACACATGGGACAGCAGAAGTGAGAGCCAAGTGCGGGGAGGGAAGTTGGCAATGGCCACCAAGGAGGGGCTGGAGACTAGATCGCGAGGGGTAAGTAGGCACTGGCCAGGCTCAGAGGGGGCAGGAAAGGTCCCTCGTTGCAAACAGAACCCAGGAGCACAGGCATGGATGAGGGGTCAAAGTGCTGGGTGTGTTTGAGGAACAGTGAGAATTTGCGTGTGGGTAGATGAGAGATCCTGGCTGTGGGTCAGAAACTCCCACAAAACTATTTGTAAGTACAGATTCTCAGGCCTCACTCCAGATCTACTGGGTCTGGATACCTGTTATGCAGCCCAGTCACAAGACTTTTTTTAAAACTTTCCCCTTCTCACGCCTGCCTTCCCCTGCCCCCCACCCACACAACTTTGATGCACAGCCAGAGCTGAGAACTAGAAGGATATTCGTTGTACCACAGCATAAGACAGAACTTTCCAGAAACAGAATGGTGTGTCAGCAGAAGCTAACTTAGCAGGGGAACGAGTGTGGCAGCAGGGACTCCTACCCTAAATGGGGAAGTAAGAGAAGAGGGGCTGGCCCTTTAAGTCCATGATTGAGTTCACTGGTCATGGCTTGTGTCTTTAAAGGTGGCAGTTGGAAAGGGCGAGGACAGGGAAGTAATATTCATTCCAAGAGAGAAGGCAGACAGAGAGGGGAGGGCAGCGTCTGAGAGCAAGCGGGGAAATTCCCCCGCCTCAGAGGGGTGGCCAGGGAGGGCGCCGTGGAGCCCCTCCAGGAGACGCTGAAAGGGGAAGTCCCAGCTCGGGTGACATGACTGAGGACACCCTGGTTCCCTCCCCGGGGACCTGGCCCTGCGACCTACGTGCTGGGCAGCCTGGGACAAAACTCTGCACTCTCCTCCGCCTCTGTGCATCCTCTGGGGAATGAATGGAAAAACATGGCCGTGCAAAGGAGGCCAGAGGAAGTAAGTGCTCTGCAGAACATGCAGAGGGATTCTGACATTCTGGACGGACAAGTCAGCCTCAGGACCTGCAGCTCCAGGACCTCCAGGCCCAGAGCCACAGCCTTGGGGGTGGGGGCAGGGGAGAGGGATTCCCTTAAGGACTGAGGGCAGCCACAAGGGGCTGGCATGGGGAGGAGGGTCCCCAGAGGAACGGGCACTCTAACACGTCACCTCAATCCTCACACTGGCCCACTGTCAATGACGAACATTCACTGAGAGCTGCCTGTGCCAGACCGGCCCTGCGCTCCACACAGGTCAATTCACCCTACTCCCTCCCTAACCCGGCGGTGCAGCGGTCTGCACCATTCTAACTGCAGACGAAACTGAGACTCCAGAAGGTGAGGTTCCTGGCTCCAGGTCAACAACAGGAAGAGGCAGAGTTGAGCTCTTACTTGGTGGAAGACCAGTCTATACCAGTTCTCTTCAAACCACAGAGGAGAGTGGAGCTGGAGAATCTAGGAAGGAAAGCATTTGGGGTGCCCCAGAGAACACGGAGTCCCCTCAAATCCCTTTTTCACTTCTGCAGACATTTTGGGGATTTGTTCCATACCCCTTCCCAGCTGCAACGCACACCCACATCTGCCCTGCACTGCAGGACCCGGGCCCAGCAGAGGAGGCCAGGCTAGGTCCTGACGCCAGCACCGTGTGACCCTGGCAAAGCCGCCCTGTCCTTCTGAGCACCCGTCTCCCTTGCAGGGTTGTTGCAAGGATTATATTAAGTCATATATACAAAGCACCAGCCACGCAATGGTTATCCAGAAACACCAGTCTTCTTCCTTCCTCTACCATTTCCCTACTTCTGTCCAAAGCTGCCCAGCTACAATGACCCCTCCACCAGAAAGCCTTCCTGGCCGGCCCCACCCTCGTGACTGTCTCTCACTCTCAAACCCCGCTCCCCTCTCCTGTCCTGCTCCCGGGGGCACCTTGGGCATCTCTGCCCGAGTTGGCCTCACTCCCAGCTGTGAAAGGGTGCACTGGGTGGTAGCATTGGGCTAGAAGGCCCAAGGGACCACCACTCTGCCCTGGACATGCCGATGAAGTGACCAAAGGTTGATGGGTACACGAGATTGCCACGCTATTCAGAGCAGTCACTGCCAAGGTGGCCATTCTGGACCCTTGACTGCCTCCATCCAAGCTGCCCGAGAACTGGCCATCGCCCTGGGGATGGACTTCTGCCACACCACCCAGGACAGCAGCTCAGAGTCATGGCCTGAGCCCCAAATGGGACATCCAGGGACCTGTGCTCTAGCCCTAGCTATTCCCATGTATCCTAGAACCAGTGTTTTCTCCTCACTGGGCCTCAGCTTGCCCCTCTGTACAAAGGGCACCTTTTCACACCTTCATACAGAAAGAGGTGACCGTTAAGTCCCTCTAGCACTAACAGACTGTGGTCCTGTCCTTTCCCACTCACACATCTGTTGCCAGAGGCCTATGATTTAGAGCCTCTGCCTTACTTCCATTTCTCGGCTCTTCTCTCAGACACAGAGCGAGCCAGACCGGTTGAGGAGATTGCCCGGCTTCTGTCGTCAGTGACTCAGACACTGCTGCCTATTTTTATTACAGCGGGCTCCTTGGTGTCTCCACAGTCTGACTCAGTGCTTTTGACACCACTTCCTTGTCTCGGACACAGGGCACATTCCCAGAAGGGAAGAGGCTTGGGCCCTTGGAAGGATGGCTGACCTCCCCATGGGGCCAGAAGGGAGCTCTTGGGAGGACTTAGCGACTTCCAGGAGTAGGGGCCCTGACTTCCTTCTCATAGCCAGAGTCCCAAGCAAATGTCACAAGAGCCACCATTCAGGGCCACACCCCTCATGCCAGGCATGGATCTGCCACCTGCCCCTGTACCGTCTCATCTAACTCCCTCACCAGCCCCATGAGATAGGGCTCTGATTATTGTTTCATGGTGAAGAGGAGCTGAGGCTCTGAGAGGCTGAGCAAGTTACCCACAGTCACAGAGCTGGGAGGCAATCGAGCACTACGCCTGCCCCCGGCAGCCTCCTCGCGGCCGCAGCACAGGGCGGCTCTCAGGTAACTGGCGTTTCTGTGCACTGAGGGTACTGTGAAATGTCCTTAGGCCAGTACTTTCCTGCCCTCCCCAGGTGGGCTGACGACTGAAGTCACAGATCTGAGAACAGGCATATCAGACCCCAGGCTCTGGGAACTTGCCATGACTCTCAGCCTCCTAAAAGCTGACCAAGACAACGTGGCACGGCACCCCAGAACTCACCGGGGCTTGAGTGTAGGTGTTGGCTTCTACGATCTCAGCGACTCCGGCCGTCTCCAGGAGCCCGCTGGCCTCTCCGGATGCCTGTGTGGAGGCAAATGATGTCAGGTAGATGGGGAGCAGTGTACAGCCAGGAAGGCCAAAGAACAGCCTCCTGTTGAGGAACACACGCGTGTGCGCACACGTGTGTGTGTGTGTGTGTGTCTCAGAAAGAGAAAGAGAGACAGACAGACGGAGTGAAATTGAGGGGAGCGCATGGACGGTGCGAAGCCTGGTTATTCTTTTAGTTTCCTTCCACATTTTATTGCTCAAACAAATATAAAACTACCCTGCTTCTAACTCAGGAACTGATTCATTTGCCAAGCATAAAAGCTAAATTTAGGTTCATTTTTTATAAGAATGTACATTCAGGGCGTCTGGAAGTGCTGGCTTCGATTTTAGAATCCTGACACCCTTTCCTGGCAGGAAGTCTGCAAAGCAGGCCATCGATGGCCACCGCTGCAGAAAAAACTAACACCTTTGAAGGAACCCCACTGCGTCCCCTCCCCCCCACCAACCTCTTAAAAATAATAAAATAAAGCCAAAAAGCCCAAAATAGGACATGGGGCAGCACTTGCCAAGAGGAGAGATTGTAGAGGCTCCGTGACGTTGGGGATGAGGAATTGTCTGGGCACCCAGCCCTTCCCTGGCAGACCGGCTGCTGGGGCTGCAGGGCCCACTGTCGGGGGTAGGGGAGGTGGGGGCTCACCGAGGATTCTTCAGCTTCGCACAGCTCCTCTGGAGTCCTAGGGTCAGGGTGGATGGTGAGCTGCTGTATGGAGCCCTGGGGGAAAGCAGAGGGGTCAGAAGCCACCGCAGGCCCGTCTACAGCCCAACCACCAGCGGAAACATGATGGCTTGTGTGGCAGAGGAGAACCAGGGACAGGAAGGTGTAAGAATGTACTGCCTATTGGCTGTGACAAGTAAATCAAGCCCCCTCTCGGCCGGCTCCCATTTAGGGGGTTGTCTGCTGGAGCCAATGTAGTTTGAGCTCCATTAGCTGGAGAGCCCCTTGGGGAGTATTGTGTTCAAAGCATAGGCTAACACAGCGGCCTGCTAACTGCTCCCAAGGCCTCCAGCTTGCTGGGGGCGGGCCCTAAAATGCACGTCTCTCCCCTCCCAGAGCATGTCTTTCCCCTGTAGCTGGGAGCTTTTTGGCTGGAAGGCCTCATCTCAAGAAGAGCTACCTGCCAGCCTCCCTCCCTCCACTCTTACCTCCTCTCCCCACACCTGACTTACTCCATGACCCATCCAGGGTAAGCGTTTAGAAAGTGTTCATTGAATTTTAACTTCTTAAAGTTCTCAGTCTCCCTGCACACTAAAATAAACCCCAACTCTGCCCCACGGTACTGTCTTGTATCAGTAAGCCCAAAGCGAGCGCGCATGCTGACTCAACGAATAACCACAATAATGTAAGAATTTTCTTTAGGATGGCTTATACATAAAACCCCATTCTGACCGTAAAGTCAGTTTTCTGATATGTTTTCAGGGCACACTGTCCAAAAGGAGAGAAACTTTCTCACGCAGGCATTCTAGTCTACTGCAGCTCTGCAGAAATCGCTGCATCTGCTACCTCTATTCAAAGGTAAAAATCCCAGAAGGATCTAACAAACCCTGCTCTCTTTATAATGCCTTAAAATGAACTAAGTGCTTTCACACAAGCTATCTCACTTGACTCTAAGACCCCATGGCGTAGGTGTTGTCCTCCCCACTTTCATATAAGAAAGCACAGAGAGGATCAGAAGACCCAGGTGCTATCTAAACCCCTGGGCTCCACTGAGCACTCAGGACTGGAATCTAGGTGCTGGGTTCCAGGCCCAGTGTCTTTCCCACCATGCGCGCATGCCCCTTTGAGGACATGAGGAAAAGATAATAACAAGTGCTGTCGCTCTGTTTGTTGTATGGTGTCCCGTGGCCTCCCCGATCTGCAGGGCCTGCACTCACGATGAATCTCTCCAGCCCCGTGGCTCCCGCACTGCCCACGAAGAGCCCTGCACTGGGCTCGAAAGCCAAGGCCCGGGAGGACCGCTGGAAGGGGACATGGCTGTGCTCCTCGCAGTCCACCAGGAGGGTCACTTCTTCGCCCTGGATGATCACGGAAAAACGGTTCCACCTCTGGGTCATCACGGGCACCGAGAAGGCAGCAGCCTCCTGGGACACATGGGAGCCGGGCTCCGTGTAGTAGAGGATGATCCTCTGGTGGCCATCCTCCTCGCCAGAGAGCCGCAGGCCCAGGTAGATGACCTTCTGGAAGGCATCTGTGATGGCAAAGAGCACGCCGCCTCGGGCACTGCCGGGCTTCACGGTGGCGCTGATGGCGAAGTCCCGGAAGAAAGTGGGGGGGATGAGGATCCTGGCTGGGCGGCCCACATTGGCACCAGGCCCAAAGCTGTAGGCCGGGAAGCCACCATAGCCTGTGACAAAGGACACGGATGAGGGCAGCGGGACACCAATGAGCTCCGTGAGGTCCACGTGGCCATGGGAAGTCGATCCTGCAGGGAGGGAGAGAGAGGCCATGCTTCACACATATATCCTATTTTGCTTGGAAATGAGAAATCTCAGAGGTCGCCTAATACAACCTCTGCCTGAGATGTGTTAACTCTGCACCATACAACGTAGTAGCCATCAGCCAAGTGTGGCTTGGGAGCACTTGAAATGTGGGTCGCCCCCACTGAGATGCACCATGAGTATAAAATATCAATTTCCAAGACTGAGTTTGGCAAAAGGAGTGTAAAATATGTTATTAAGAATGTTTACATTGATTCTATGTTGAAATAGTAATTTGGGGGAAATATTGGGTCGGATATATTATTAACATTTTTAAAAAGGATAATACAAGGGCCTTGACTGGTGTGGCTCAGTGGGTTGGTCATCATGGAGCAAACTGAAAGGTCACTGGTTCGATTCCCAGTCAGGGCACATGCCTGGGTTGCGGGCCAGGTCCCCAGTTGAAAGTGCATGAGAGGCAACCAATAATGTTTCTCTCCCTCTCTTTCCCCCCTGCTTCCCCTCTCTCTAAAAATAAATAAATAAAACCTTTAAAAAATATATAAGGAACAAGCATGGGCCCCCACTGTGCTTCTCAGCTGATGCTCTCATGGACTCTCCAGTCGTCTCCCCCTGCCCACGCCTCCGGGGCGGCCGCTCGGGGGATGGGGTGTTTACCATTCCCATGTATGTCTCTGTACGTTCGCTACATGAGGATGTGTCTCTGACACAATGTGGGTCACTGTGTATGTCTCTGAACCCCAGATAAATGTTGGCAAGCACTTTTTTCTCTGGTCAGCACTGTGTTTTTGAGATTTATCTTTGTTGAGGCATGTGGTTCTGGGACTTACTTTCACGATGGTGTTCTATGGTACAAATAAGCCACACTGCATTGGTTCACCTCTCCGTTGATGGAGGGTGAAGCTTCCATCATATTTCAAATCAACTGCTGTGTGCGTTCTTATATGTGTCTCCTCTTGGTCACCTGTGCAGGTGATTCCACCATCTGAGGTGCATCCATTGGGTGAAATGCGGATGCACACCCACAACTTCACTGAACGTTGCTAAAATGTCTGAAGCAACTGTGCCCTTTTTTAAATCGAGACATAATTGACATATAACATTGTGTATCTTTAAGGCGTACGATGTGTTGATCTGATATATTTATATGCTGCAATATGATTTCCACCTTAGCTTTAGCTAACACCTCCATCATGTCAGGTAATTACCATTCTTTTTTTGTGGTGAGAACATTTAAGATGCAACTGTGCCATTTTATACCCCCACCAGCAGCATGTTCTTGCCAACATTTAGGGAAGGCAGGGAGAGGTGATTTGGGAGAAGTCTATGGGGCTTTTCAACTTTAGTGATAATGTTTGTTTCTTATCCTCTACTCGCCATCATAGTGCCCCCAGTGACTCATGCTGCCGCAGGTCCTCCTCCTTGACCCTGAGTGCTTTCCCTCTGTCACCTACCCTACCGGACCCCACACCACTCAGTTATGTTGCCAGAATAACTCCTTTTCATCAAGTTTCAGCCCTGGCCACCCCCTCCCTCCTTGAAATCCCTGGTTTCACCTCCCACACCCACGCCCTCCTCCTCCCCTTCCTGAGGTGGTGTTAGATGGCCTCAATCCACAGCAGGTCCTCCACCGCAGCCCCCAGCACGCTGCATTTCACTCTTGGTGACAGGTCTCTCTTACTATTGGGCCATGAAGACAAGGACCACATCATTCACCTCTGTGATACCAGCACCCAACCTAGTGCTGATGAGTGAATGAATGAATGAATGAAGCCCCACCCCCTCATTTTACGGAAGGCATAGGTGAGGTTAAAAGACGGAAGGGGCTTGCTGGCTACAAACTTGGATCTAATTCTCAATCCAATGCTTTATCTCTCCAGTTTATAACACACGCTAAAACAGAAATTAATTTTAAGTACAACAAACCCCAGAAGGCGTAAATAAAATGATTGATGAATCTCGCTAAATTTAACTGCATAGAAATTTTAAAAGCTCTGAATAGCAAAAATAAAAATCTCCACAGTGTCAAATCAAATCCCCAAACTGGACAAAAATATTTGCTACATATATTGCAGACCACAAAGTAATTGCCCAGATACACAAAGCAAATGAGTAAGCAGCGGGGCAACAACCCAAGAGGAAAAACGGGAAAAGAATAAGAAATTCTTTCCACAGCAAAAGAAATAAAAACAGCTCGTAAAGAGAGGAAAAGACAGTCAGCTTCCCTCCGACTGAGAGAAATGTAAGTTAATACTACGAAGATAAACCATTCTCCCCATCACTTTGGTAAAGATCAGATTGGATAATATGAAGTGTTGGCAAGGGTTTGGGGAAACAGGCCACCTCACGCCAGGCTGGGGGAAGGGAAATGGGTGTAACATCTGTGGGGGCGCTTTGCCAACATTTTATCCCAATTACAAGTGCACAGGTTCTCTTCCGTCCAGTAATGACACCTCTATGAATTGTTTTAACAGATAAAGTTACACATGTGAAATGGAAATCATGCTCGAAAATATTCATCGCTGCATGGATTAAAATGTATCCAAATGTCCATCTTTGGAAATGCTTAAATGAATAATAATTTTTTTAATTTATCCATACAGAGAAATGCAACGCAGGTTTTTAAAAGGTGTGATTCCCCAGTTCTTAATATCAAACAATTCACACGATGTATTAGGTAAAAGCAAACAGACAAAAAAAAAAAAAGTCGCAGAATAGAATCATGATCAGTTGGAAATACTAATATTAGTACATAGTAAATACACACAATGTATTTTAAAATATAGGTTAGAATATCAGTAGAAGGATATACAAGAAACTGAGAGCAGGGATTGTCTCCAGGGAAGGCTGAGACAAGAGACTTCTTTTCACTGAATGCTCTTTTCTACTTTTTGAATCTTACACCATGTATATGGTGTGAAAAATAAAGGCATCCACATATTTTTAAAAACATGCACTCCTTCCATCCCCTTTTAGACATGACAAAATCTTTTTCTTCTTGCTTTTTTTCCTCACTCAGATATAGCCCATCTTTGTATAGGAGGGGAAAAAAAGAGAGTGAAAAGAAATAGAAATAAAAGCAAACACCCCACTGAGATTTCTTTTCTCCCCTCCACAGTTTAAAGATAAAAACAAAACAAAACCGTGAGCACCCTGCTGACAGCCCCGCTTTCTTCTTGCTTTAATCCAGTGAAAAGCTTTCCTCCAGTTCCTCTCGCTCCCACTGAGCGCAGGAGGGGGAGCCCCTTCCCAGGGGGATGCTCCCGGCTTGGGGACAGGTGGTTCCACAGGGAGCAAATGGGCCAGTGATTTGCTTTGCTCTCAAGTGGTGTCCAGGGGATTCCAGGGACAGGTGGGGGCAGGGGCTGAGACATTCCCACCAGGACACCTGCTTGACCAGTACAGCCAAGGCTTCCACATGGCAAATCTGGGAATTCTTAGTCCCAGAGAGATTCTGCTTAAAAAAAAAAAAAAAAAAATCAGAAATCTACGGAACCTCCTTGTGTGATAGGGAGACAGATGAGGAAGAGAGTTCCATCACCGGGAGACACAGCCGGGAAGCAGCAGATGGAGCAGCTAAGCAAGGGGGGCACAGAGGCGAGGTGTGGTCCTGCCTTGGGGTGACTTGGAATCACAGGTCTGGGGGGCCCCCTCGCCACAGCCCCTGCCTCCCAGGCCGCAGACAGTGCAAGGGAAGACAAGTGTGCAAGCGCCAGTTGAAAGATCTTGTTTCCACTGGGTCGGCCACAGAGGGAGCCAAACCACAAATCCAGAGGAAGCTCAAGTCAGCCCAGCCCTGCCCACGGCATCCCCCACCTCCCTCCACACACATTGTCCCGTGGCCTGGTGTAGTGTGGCGGCGAGTGACCCCTGGCCTGGAGTGACCCATGCTCAGGCTGCATCTGGGCCTGCTGGACCACTTCCCCTTGGCCTCTGGCAGGAGGGCCACCTGCTCAGGCAGCCACCAGGGAGGGGAGGGGAGGGGAGAGAAGGCAGGAAGCCAAGACAAACAGGCTTGGCAATTCGGTCCATAGGCTTGTCCTGGAATGGCTCCGCGCTGGGCAGGAAGGGGTGGGGTGTCGGGTTGGAGATCACAGCTCGTAGGAAGACGTCCTACCATCCGGGAGGGACAGACTGGAGAGGGCATGCTGATGGCAGGCTGATCACAGAGCTCTGGACTCAGGAACCTTGGAGCCCTTCGTCAGAAAGTACCACACTTCCATCTAGATGACAGTACCTGTTTCATTGGACACTGTGTAACTTGAATAAAATACTATTCCTAAAATGCATAGCACACAGGAAGTGCCAAGCACAGAAACTGAGGCCCTGGAAAAGGTTACTGAGGTCTCACTCGAGGTCTCACATCCAACAAGGACCTCACTGCACACTCATCCATCACCTGAAGGTCCAGGCTCCCTGCCACCTCCACGATGCTGGGTCCAGGGGCCCAGGAGGTCCCCAAGGACTCATACAGCCAGGGGAGGCAGGGCTTTTGAGGGGAATCCCAGCTATGCCACTAACTCTATATGTGCTGTTGGGCACAGTGCTCTCCCTCCCTGACCTCAGTTTCCCCATCTGTGTATCAGGGAGTTAAACAAGATAGACTCTCAGACCACATCCACTCTAACATAGTTTTTGTGTCTTCACTGCCTTCGAAGCACCTCTTGGGGCTGCATCTGACCTCAGTGTCCATCTCTCATTTCATTAATGCATCAGGATAACTTTATTACAATGGGGGTTCTTTACCACACTCTTCCAGCTCATGAATTTGATAACATGCACAAAGCCTCCACACTGTGCCTTGTGCGGTGCTGAGACAATGGAGGGGAACCTGGAATGCAGGTTCCGAGGAACTCACGATCCAGGTGTCTCAGCAGTCGTCTGTTCGTGCAGCTCACAAGTTCCAAAGCTTTCGTACTCGCTAGTGCTTTCCGGACGAAGTCAAAAGTCCATTTAAGGCTCGCCCTGCTTCACCTGCTCATCC